CCCACAGATGTTCTCAAGCGCTTGGGCATTGAGTGCATTCCTCTCCGCTGTCGAGTTTACAGTGGAAAAATCTCCCCTTTGACCTGGAATATTTTCAACACTCAGGAAGTCGGCAGCCAGGGAATGCCATGCTTCAGCGCTAAGAGAGCTAGAATAGGAAAGGATCAATCCTTCAGCAATCACCAGCTACGTTATTTCATTAGATAAGATTAGCCACAATAGAAACATGTCCGTGGAGATAGGAAATAACTTCATCTTCCTGCATACTGTCATGTGAAATTATGAAAGGAGGCAGTACGTTATTTTGAGCCAACAAATAGATAGATGATATGAAATAAACTGACGAGTAAGTTTAAAAATGTATGCTTTATTCAGTGCTACATTTCAGATGTGGACAACAGATTACAAAACTACAACCTAGCTGTTCAATGTTTTTAATAAATGCTCAGTGTACTTCTTGAATATTAATATCTTAATCTCTGTTTACTGAGAGAAGAATTGCAATAAATACTATACAGTACAGCTCATTGTATTTCCATTGTCTTTCTTGCTTGCTTCATAATGGTCCATTTCATGCAGTAACTTTTGATTATAGGAGCAACACGTGACTGAAAGATAAACACTTGCAAAGTCCAACACATGGTATGATATGGGAAACAATGCAGTTAATAATAAAAAAAAAAAGCTGAGGCACAAAGATAAGGCGCAGATACGATGCAGGAATTCTGTCATGCCATGGTGCAGTTGCAGTACATCCAGTCCAAGTACAGTAGATCCAACAAAATCTGCCAACTCACTGATCAAATCTACTTTCCCACACAGCATATCTAAGGCAGCCTGAGAACACTGTGTTCAAGGAAGCACAAAGCAAGACTTTCTATTGCACTACTGAGGACAGACTGTCAAGAACCAGGATCGGCCACATGAATGGATGCATGCCACCAAGCTCGCATGCAGGACTTCTTATACGTTTTTCCATTGCACGACATGGATTAATTCGCTTAGACACCCAGTTTTGAAGTAAAGCCTCATATGGCAGTGAAAAATTAAACTGTATTTGAAAAGCTTTACAGATTGATATCAATCAATCAATCAAAGTTTATTTGTAGAGCGCCTTTCATACACAGGGCAACACAAAGCGCTTCACAGTCCACATCACAAATCATCACATAAAACAAACACCAGAATCACAATTAAAACATTAAAATATCTCAAACTTGGTCCCACACAGAGGTTCAGGGAAGTGCAAAAGCTGCCCTGATTTTATTGTGATTATGAAGATGCATTTTAGAATGATTGTATGCTCCTGCTGGGTCGAACACCTGATACTGATATTGTGTTCTAGACATACTTTATGCCTGTGCCCTCAGGGAAAAAAAAATCCATTGATGGAACAACCTGGTTAATATAGATGTTCTATTAGTCAGCTGATCTCATTCTTTCGCCACATAGTGTTGCAGCAATTATCCGCAGGGAGGCTTGCACTGATTTGCTTACTTATAACCAGGTGGTGACTTTAGCAGAGTATCATCCCCACACTTCTCGCACTTCTATAAATATCAAATGGTTGCGTGTCGGCAGCCTCTTCAAATGTTCCCCCTTTAAGCATATGCAGCTGAGGAGAACAGCTGGGCCAAGTGGAAGGATGAATATGGAAAGACAGAAAAGTGAGGAAAGTGTGATAATTGACAGTCATACTGTCCGTGGCAAGTTATTCTTGAATACTGACAGGGACCTGCCGCTTCCTCCAACCTTGGAAACAGAATCCAAAAAATGAGTAAGGCAAAACACAGGCACCCAAAGCTTGAAAGCCTGTCAGAAAGTGCCTCGAGCTTGGAAAATTCAGTAAACTAAACAAGAGTGGTTGACTGAGCGAGCTGTTTGCAGCACACGCAGACAGCAGAGGAGATAAGACAGAAGAGGTGAAGGCACTCATACACACCACATGTGGTTTAAGTGACAGAGGTCTGAGGTCAAAGTCTGGGAGTAATAATCTGCCTTTTAACTGGGTGTCAAATCGGCTCTTCTTGAGACCTGCTCCACACATGTTCTCCATTGCGCACCCCCACACCTCACCAGATGAAGGTGCTGAATCAAATTTCCACTGAGGAACCAACCGCAATGAGACATATTTTCCATTGCGATCATCAACAATGGACAGATATTGCCAATTGTGTAAATAGTTTACAGAGCTTGCAAACACACGCATCTAGGACAACAAACAGCAATACGGACCACGCTGCAGCTCTGAGTCTGACACTGGTTGCGTGCACTCATTGTAAACACATGCATACACAGAAAATTATAGTTTCCACGAGTTTCTTCAGCAATACTTCAGCATTTGGTGGCTTGGAGGGGGAAAAATGCAGGTTTACACTGCTCTGCTACTCTGTGTCGTAATGATGAGGACATGTGAATGGCATTACACAATTACACAGTTCTTAAAAGACATCATGTTAGATACACTGCAAGGTCTGCTACAGGTTTCAGTTAGACCATGCCACCATGTATTTCAGCATATCTTAACATGTTTTTTAGTGGTCCATTGGATGAATTAAAAGGAATTTATTCTTTGTAAGTCATATCTTATGTGGCTTCAAGAGTATGTCTGGCTATTTGGTAATGATTTGCTCTTTTTACCCATCCTTGTTCCTTAAAACTAAAGTCTGTTCTATCATCAGCCCATATGGGAATCCAACCAACATCCAACAAACATCCCGCCCATTCCAGTCAGGTCACTGAGTCAAATAAAATGGTTTGTGTATATTTACCAAACACACCCACCTCCTTCATAAGTAGCCAATGCTACGTGCAGCTAGTAACACAATCCCAAACTCACAACCACACAAGCCAACATTCATCTCTTAACCTCAATGAAAGTCCTCTATGTAATATAGATATGAACAGATTTGAGTTAATTCATGCCGACACAACATGTATTTTATGTGAAAGATAATGGTCTATTCTATATTGCCATATTTCCAAAAGAAAAACATGGCTCAATTCATCAAGCAGCTCATGAGTCAGAAAGGCAGAAATGGAATTTTGGCAGTAAAATGAAACTAAACTCTGTCATGTTTTACCATAAGGACCTGAACAGACAGAGATCACAGCCAGGCTTTGCTCTTTATGAGAATTAACCGCCCTCATATTACTGTAAACTGGTATGTAACCGTAACCAGCCCTGGCCCGGCCCCATAAGAATATCATTATCAGGGACAATGGACACACTCCAGCTTCCAGGAATACAGACTGGATCTTAAATCCCTGTCTAATCGCAAACATACATGGATGGCGGCAGAGAAAGCAGGTACCTCAGGGTGTCAACAAAAAGATTGTTCAAAGGGTGATTTTTTCTGTTCTAAGCTTGTCAAATACACACACACTCACTCTAGCATCACATGTAAGTAATCAAAGCGCCTCGGATGGGTAAACCACAGGCCAGATAAAGGACATGAAAAAATCCTGAATGCTCAAACTGACCACTAGTACAGATAATTTACAATGTTAGGACTCATCGAAACTGCAAATTAAGGACATACAGAACATGTAGTCTGTTCTCAAGTTCAGATTGCGTGGGCTAAAAAAAAAGTGCAACGAGTTTGTTTTACTTGATCCTTTCAGGAGTTACACACTTTAGATCACACAAAAAGCATGGCTTTAGACAAACTGTTTACAGATTTGCTTTCAATAGATATATCCATACATTTTCCCAGTACCATATATATAATATATACTGTATATATAATTTTGTTTTGTTTTATATTTGCAAATTTAATCTATTTTTAACATGACATTTCAATGAACATGTATTGATATATTCCTTTTAGTGCTGTCCAAAATATCGCGTTATTAACGCGTTAACGCAAATCAATATTAACGGCGTCATTTTTTTTAATCACGCGATTTAAAAAAATATATATATATTTTTTTTTTTACTTTTTATTGCAGACAAACACATATACAGAAAAAAAAAATAGAAACAAAGAAAAGGACTAGTTCAGATACATTGTAGACAGAGATTACAAACAATATGTAGTTGGAGATACAGGGGGCCAAAGAAGAAACCCAGAAGGGCACACAGGAGGGGGGGGGGGGGACATGAAGTGGGAGATGGGGGGGATGGGTTAATAAAAAAGGCAATACAAGCAAACAGTATACAGTCATAGATATACCGAAAGTAAACAGAGAAACAGCATAGAGTATTTACATGAACAAATTTACAAAATATTTAAAAAAGCAATTGCACACAGCACGCCTATTCACTTTTTAGTAGTATTAAAATGATAATTCAAGGGACATAAAGAATAGATACAAATGTGTGACTAATTTGCGATTAATCGCGAGTTAACTATGAAATTCATGCGATTATCCATCCATTTCCATCCATCCATTTTCTACCCTTTAATCCATTTCTGGGTCAGGGGGGTGGCAGTCAGAGATGCCACCCAAGTCTCATAGCACCAGCCCCTCACTGACCCTCTGCAGGTGGTGAGTTCACAGGAGGACAGCTGCTCTCTGAGTGTGAGCATAGCCTTGATCTTTTTCAGCGGGGGCTTTTGGGCAAAGTCGGGTTAAGTGTCTTGCCCAAGGACACAACGACAGCAGTCATCAGTGGGAGTCGGTGGAGAAGGTGCAGAGGTGGGAATTGAACCCACGACCTTCAGGCCTGAAGGCCAAGGCTCTACCAACTGAGCTACTGTCGCCCTGCGATTCATGCGATTAATCGCGATTAAATATTTTAATTGTTGGACAGCACTAATTCCTTTATTTATATATTTATTATTTTGGCAGTTTTGGTCCTCCATATACATACTGTAAGTTTGGGCATTAGATCAGCTTTTTCAGTGAAAGAGAGGACCACTCTCTCTGAGGCCAATCAGCTTTCAGGTAATATGTTTTTCTAATGAGACAACGATGGCATGTTGCTGTCTGATTTGTACAAAACATGTCACTTAAACAAGAATCATACTGAAGTAGAATGCATCTTCTTTACTTACATATTTGCCAGTGGACGGTTCTTCAGGCGGAAGGGACCCAGGGCTGAGCAACGGGGAACCGGCTGGACTGCACAGCTCTGGGAAGGGGTTGGGTATTGCTGGGAGAGATGAGGTCCGCAATTGCTGCTCTTCCTCTTGCAACCTCCTACAAACCCAGAAACAGTTCAAAATAAAAAATAAAAACTTAAAATATAGATCCTGTAGGTCACAGCCTCCACAGAGCAGCAATATCAAATCAATGCCAGAGAAGTTTGAGCCGCTGACACATGAGATCCGCCCGTGGACTTGGACCTAATGATGCACTGCTGTACAGTATCCGGGCCTCATGTCTGTTTCTGTCTGATCTCTTGATAATGAAGCGTCTCTTGGCAAGCAAAAATCACAGACCCCTGCAGCTTGCCAGCTAATTTTCTGCAATATTTATATTCAGGCATCAATATTGAATCAAGACATCACTTTAAAGCAGTTTTAAATTAGGCACATACAGTGCAGGAGAGCTCACGAACCAAAACACACAACTATCTGACAGCTGAGCATCAACTTTTTAACATCCCATCATATTTTTGGGGAGAAAGTCTAGCTCGCGGAGTGGCTTACCCTCTCCCCTCCTCGTTCTGTCTATCTCTGTTTCTGTGCAGCGAGTTCAAAAGGGAACGGCTCTTTTGATGTTGTCCCATATGAGCCAAAGAGCTGGGGTTATGGAAGGGTCAGCCCTGAATAATAAGAACTTCACATCGTGTGTTTCAAGGAGAAGTGAGCACTCATAAGACAGAATATGCCATTACCTGCTAGTCCCTCATCTGCAGCTATCAAAAACTTCATAGAAAGAAGAGATATGGATGAAAAAAGAATCTCCAGCTCTACTAAATGTATACAAAAATAAGCCTTGGGAGGGTGGTGGCTTAAGGTGCTTAATATGAAAGCACAGAGTTCAAAAGTGAAAAGAAAAGTCTATTTATCCTTCTGTAGTTATGACAAAAAGAGACGGGTCATTCTGAGGGTACAGACAAAGAGTGGGAGGCTGAGCTCAATTATTAGCAGGGTGTAGGTACTAGCCGTTTCATGCCGTATAGAACAAAACTTTAGTGTACAAATGAAGGCTTTATAAAAATGCAGTGTATGACCAAAACAAAAATATAAATCATGTTTATTTTTTTTTGTTTTTTTTTTTTAAATCAATATTGGTGTGTTGTTTTACTCATCGTTTGGTTCATTCTTTGCATTTCCATAAATTCACATTCATATAATATTCCTACATGGGATAAAACTGTTCTCCATTTGAATGAAGACATGGTGTCAGTAGGCCTGTCGCGATAGTCAATAAATCAATTAATCGCACGATAAATAAAATTTGCTCAATAACTTTTCTGGCCGCGATAAATCTCATTTGCATGCTTGTTTGTTTCCCCCGTCTCTCTCGGGTCAGAGAGCCGCAAAGTGGTCAGGGGAACACTAGCGGTCTAGCAAGCAGACGGAAATTACTCAAAAATACAAAATACAGCCAAAACAGGACCTAAACCAGGACTTAACCAGGATTGACAATGGGGGACACAGTAGTTGTGAACATATGCCGGCAGCTGAGTTCTCATTCAGGCTTGATTAGTGACTATACTAGCGCAGCTAGCGTTAGCGTGTTCGCCGATGCAGAAGTACCGTACCGTACCAATAAAATAAACTTATGGCGCACCTCCGTGAACACATACTGCTGTTATATAAAGTCTCTAGAAGGTCTCTGAACACAGAGATGCTGCAGACTTGCATTCTTGGAGTAGAACTTTACACAAAAACCCGCTAGCTTAGCTTTTTGCATCAAAGCCCGCCCCGCTACTTCCGGTGGGCGCTACCGCAGCAGGACTTCTGTACGCCCCATTGGTGAACCCACATGTCAGTTCATGACATGCCACTTGTCATTCACCTGGTGTGTGGGGAGGTGGGACTACTCCTGAGAGATCCTGTCTTAAGCCACACAAAGTCAACATGTTGGTATTTCTTTCTCGTAATCTGCCATAAAGTCTGAGAAATTATTGACATTTGAGGCATCTGTTTCATATTTTCTTTACAAAGGTCCTGGCAGTTTTATTCCTGGTCATTTTTTGTTAAGAGACTGAGTCTATTTTATTTATTGTTTTTGGTTGTTTGTTAATTTATTGTGTTCTAGCGTTAAATATTCGTTAAAAATAAAAGTTTATTTCTCTTTGAAAAGGTGTACCTGCATTATCATTGTAATCGATGCAAATGATCTCAGAACAACAATATAATCACTTATCGCAATAATTTCTGAGACAATTAATCGTCCAGCAAAATTTGTTATCGTGACAGGCCTAGGTGTCAGTATATAAAATATATTATATTAAGTACTAAAATAGATCCATGGGTGGCATGAGCACAAACAGTTTTCCCGGCTTAGCAGGCAGTTTGGTCCCAGGTCTGCAGACCAGGCCTGCAGTGTGAAAACGTCTTGTGTTTAGTTTTATACGTCAAGTTTAATAGAATCATCTGAAAAATCACCCTCAGAAAGTGACAAGGTCTAAATAACTACCTTGGAATCATTGTGAACAATCCAAGGCAAATCTACAGGCAAAAAGAAAAAAGAATCTATAAAAGGTTTGGCAACTTTGAACTTAGGATATGCCTACAGTGTCTTGCGAAAGCATTTCGCCACATTTCAGGCTTCAAACATAAAGATATAAAATTTAAATGTTTTGTCATGAATCAACAACAAGTGGGACACAATCGTGAAGTGGAACGAAATTTATTGGATAGTTTAAACTTTAACAAATAAAAAACTGAAAAGTGGGGCGTGCAATATTATTCGGCCCCTTTACTTTCAGTGCAGCAAACTCAGTCCAGAAGTTCAGTGAGGATCTTTGAATGATCCAATGTTGTCCTAAATGACTGATGATGATAAATAGAATGAACCTGTGTGTAATCAAGTTTCTGTATAAATGCACCTGCTCTTTGATAGTCTCAGGATTCTGTTTAAAGCACAGAGAGAACCATGAAGACAAAGGAACACACCAGGCAGGTCCGAGATACTGTTGTGGAGGAGTTTAAAGCCGGATTTGGATACAAAAAGATTTCCCAAGCTTTAAACATCTCAAGGAGCACTGTGCAAGCAATTTTATTGAAATGGAAGGAGTATCAGACCACTGCAAATCTACCAAGACCCGGCCGTCCCTCCAAACTTTCATCTCAAACAAGGAGAAGACTGATCAGAGATGTAGACAAGAGGCCCATGATCACTCTGGATGAACTGCAGATAACTACAGCTGAGGTGGGAGAGTCTGTCCATAGGACAAAAATCAGTCGTGCACTGCACAAATCTGGCCTTTATGGAAGAGTGGCAAGAAGAAAGCCATTTCTCAAAGATATCCATAAAAAGTCTCGTTTAAAGTTTGCCACAAGCCACCTGGGAGACACACCAAACATGTGGAAGAAGGTGCTCTGGTCAGATGAAACCAAAATCGAACTTTTTGGCCACAATGCAAAACGATATGTTTGGCGTAAAAGCAACACAGCTCATCACCCTGAACACAAGAATTCCAGTCTCTCGATGTGCAAAACTGATAGAGACATACCCCAAGCGACTTGCAGCTGTAATTGCAGCAAAAGGTGGCGCTACAAAGTATTAGCTTAAGGGGGCCGAATAATATTGCACGCCCCACTTTTCAGTTTTTTATTTGTTAAAAAAGTTTAAATTATCCAATACATTTCGTTCCACTTCACGATTGTGAAAAATTAATTTTTATATCTTTATGTTTGAAGCCTGAAATGTGGCGAAATGTTGAAAGGTTCAAGGGGGCCTTTCAAGGGGGCCACTGTATATAAAATTAAATACTACTTTTACTTGTCATATTTTTTCCCTTTCTATTCACTATAATACTAACACCAATTCTATTGAAAAGGACTTTGAATAACAAACTGTGAGAATGTCCTTATACCTGAAGGCGAGGATGTGCATGGGCTGTGAACGCCTCAGTCCGGTGTGAGGAGAGTCCGCGGAGGATGATGAGGAGGAAGTGAGCTCAGGGGACATGTGTGACGGCTGCAGAGCGTGCCGCTGATGATGATGATGATGGTGATTGTGTGAGGAAGGCGTCTGGCCATTGTGGAGCAGTGGTGTGACCTCAGTTTGCTGCCCGCTGCATGTGGAGTAAAGACTTTCTAACGACGAGTTCATGTCGTTCACAAGGGCTTCCAGATCCACATCGTCTTCTGGAAAACAGAAATGAGACAGGAACGTTGTGAACTTTAGAAGGTTGTGAACTGGCCATCAACCCAACACAGAACAAAAGAACAAGACAACCAAAGAGTTCAAGATAAATTCAAAGTGAAAGCGGCACATGTGTTTTGTTTTCGTTCACAATGTGAAAAAAAAGGAGCTAAATCAGTAAATTCCCCAGAGTTTTTGTAGGGAGTTTCCAAGTTGAGTTTACTCTGGCCATTGGCTGAACTACTAAGCCCACTTTATTTTGCCACTGTTCCTCAGTGTGGTGGGCAGATTTGCTGAGACTTTGTGTATTGAGAAATAACACAAGAAAATATGGATACAAACATAAAATGCAATTGAATAACAATGAACACAAGAATATCAGTGAATATTTGCAAACAAAATAAGATAATGCTAATATATATCTACTGTATAAACCTTCAACATGTAAGCACAGTAAAGATCCACTAGAGGGAGACAAAGCCCAAACATCTGCAGTTACAAAGCTTGAGAATAAAAGCAAATCCAAGAAAATGTTACTTTTTGGACTATAACTGACAAAAGGCAACACCCTTATGTAAATTTCAAACAAAAGGAGTTTGAATCTGTAGCTAACTTAAAAAACCCTTTAGTTCACTGGTGGTTAATCTTTTGTGTATTAATAGAAACAGATAAGCTCCAGTAACTACTTATAGATAACCTGGTGAAAGCTGTATACCACACCAAGGGCCATGTCTCATAGTTCAGTTCAGTTCAGTTACAATGGATTGATTCATATATTGAATATATTGAGAGATGAATGGTTAGTTAATATTGGATTTAATTAACAATTATGTTGATTTGTAGGTTTTTTGGGTAAGGGATTTAAATTAAAAAATAAAACAAAATCAGAAGTCTGATTCAAAAACCATTTTAATAATTGATTAGTTGTATGTAAATATTTCTTTGAGATAAAATCTGAAGACTTCCTTAAAATGTGTGACAGATTTTAACATCAGAGAAGAAGTCCAAGTTAAAAACAGTTCTCTTTAGCTGTGCATACAACTGAAGGATTGTATTGTCACTCTTTTTAATGTACTGTGATTATGATTTGAATGCCTTCCATCTTATCTTGTCAAGCACTTAGAGTTCCTTTTTGTAAGAACTATGCTATGCAAAAAAACTTGCCTTTCCATGCTTGAGCTGAACAGAGACGTTCTTTATGTCCTGGGCCTGTGTGTGAATGTGTGCATGTTCAAGAGTGTTTGAGAAAGCAGTAATGATGAAGTCGGCACTATTGCTTAGCTAAAATAATAAACTGGAGTCAACAAAGCATGACCTCCCTGAATCTCATACTGTTCTAAAGAGGAATGCAATTACTAAAAAATCTGACAGAGGCTGAGCTTTTTGAGAAATACCAAAGAGGCATATAATTTAATAATTTCATGAACAAGTTTTCAATGACACCATCATCAATATGTATTATTTATTTTTGGTATAATGCAAGAATGAAAATGATTGGAATATTTATATCGACTTAATTGGATATTTGGTTGGGTCAGTTTTAAAAAGAGAAAATAATGTGTATTTAGTTGGTCCTGTATTCTAAAACACTATTCAAACAAACTCTTGTACAAATGTGTTTGCCACAAAGTAGATTGCTTAAATCACTTAGGAATGCTTTTTGTGTGTTGAAAAGCAAAGAGGAAGAGCTTTTTAACAACATTGACAAAGGATAAACAGCCTGACAGGGGACACACAAAAAGAGCGGAAAAATAAAAAATCTACCATTTAATTTCATTCAGGATACTTTAAAATAGGCTATTAAACACTACCATTGTGGTTCAGTTTCCAATGTGGTAAATGCTCTGTCTGTGTTTTAATATTGGGCCGCCTGAGACCATGACATTTTTTTTCATTGCCAAACTTGCCAATTATGTATGCCTTTTCTGTGTATATTTCCTAAGTTTGAACTGTTTGATTCCTTGATTTGTGTCGGCGAATTAACAACTTTGCAAAGGCCTCCGAGATAACCGCTGTTGTGATTTAGTACGATACAAAAATAAATTGAATTGAACTCTTCTTAAGGCCCTTGTTGCTTGCTGATAATCGAGAGCTATACATTTTGAGATGACAGCTCATTATTCTGATAAAGCACTACGATGGCTTAATCAAAATGGAATATTTAAATCCCAGTCTGTTGTGAGTGATGAAACATTTGAAAAACAGTATTTTTCTACAATTCTGTACATTTAATTGGACAAAAGTCTTGTGTGCAGGTCTGTGTTTATATCTCTGCTGCCTCCTGCATGTGAGTCGCATGTAATGCATGGCCTGAGACGTCAGAAGATCACACTGCATTGGTGACATTGTTGGGATTTGTTGCCTAGCAGCAGATGCATGGCCAGATGGGCTGCTCTCTTCCACAGGAACAATCACGAACAATCACATCCATGTTCAGGGCCCCCAATTAGAGCACTTTTTCAAAGTTTAATCAACTTTTTTAAGCTTCTAACCCTTTTACAACATTGCTCCCACATCAAATACAGACCTGGATTTGTTTTTAGATCCATCAACACTAATATCAGCAAGAAACAAAAATATATCTCTGCTCCTGATATCTAGCTCCATCATACCATTACAGGACTAAGTTCCTGTCTTAGTCCTGTAATGGTATGATGTAACAGTACCTCTACAAAATCATACATTTTAATAGCCAAAAATAGTACATCATAATTCTTTCAAGTTTATTAACATAGGCTGGGGTTTGAGAGGCAATCATTTATGACAAAGGGTTTGACTCTGCAAACCTTTTCCACAATCCATGAGGAATCAAAACAGTCCAAAATCTAAGAATAAAAAATAGAAATAGAAAGTCCATCCAAAACAGGGTCATCAAAAATTCAGAAACTTGAGATTACATTACAGGCTTCAAACATATTTATTTCCATAATTTCAAAGGGGCCCGGGTCATGGGGCAATGCCAAGCCCTTGTGCTTAGGTCCCCTAAATTACTAACTATGGCCCTCAGTGTCATCCTGGGACACTCTCATGTCCTGGTGTGACATTTGGGCCATACAGGCACCAGGCCTTTGTGTGTTATGACAGTTAGAATGTGCGGCCTATAGACAATGAGTGCAGCTATATGGGATTAATGCAAATGAGCAACAGTGACCAGACAGCAGTGGGACAGTACCAGCTTGTGCCATGGCCCCCGCAGGACATACAGAACAGGACATCAAACCATTACAATAGACATGCTTCTGACATTAACATGAAAAACACAGGAGTCCTAATAACAGTAAAAAAAAAAAAAAAAAGGTTTCAGATACATGTAAATATGGTAGTTTTTTGTAGAGATTAGAAATAGAGATATTCTTAGCATTTTCCTGAGCACGTAGTGCATTCTGCCTCCACCACAAAATCAGGCTATCAATACCCAGACATTAAAACCAAGACGGTTCTCGAGTTAAAGTCATCTTCATCGGTCTGCTCCCTCCATCAACACTCATCATGGAAAATTACAATGTAATTTCTGCTCCATTTATTTCCCATAGCAGGACAAGCGTTCTAATTCAGACTCCCCACCGTCAACTTCCATGCTGGGCCAATATTGTGCTTAAATCTCATGCTCCGATTGCCATGGCTGTACACTGTATGGTACAATTAGATGGACGTAATGGCACCCTGTGTCCATGTAGATCAGCCTTTGAACTATTCAAATGGTTACAGCAGAAAAAAAGCAAATATTAATTAACTCTGTGGTCCTGACCATTCATCATTTGATGTGATGCAGGACTTTAAAGAAGACTGGACTAAACTCTGGGCTCAAAAACAGCTTGCAAAGAGACACATGCCTCATGTGATTCATAATATTGGTAACCAAAGAATTATAAATTAATACTAATATATAAATGAATAAAAATACATTAATTGAAGTACATACAGTATTTTCTATTTCCTGATAGGTAGGACAACACAATGTCATTGGGAATTCTGCAGTCCATACAATGACAATAATAACAATATGATTGCTCCATTTCCTGTTAAAAAAGATGAATTTAAGACAAAAACAAGGAAAAACATATTTTCCGATTAAAGCGATACTGTTTAACTAGTGTGAGGTAGTGAGTCACTCCCATAGAAAAATTCTAACTATTCTACACGGCGATGATCGGTTTTATGCCAGTTTATTGCAGCCAAAAGAATAACATTCCCAAGACTGAAAGGCCTCTTTACATATATTGATTATGGATTTATGTTTTACATACACAAAACATCAAATATGGTTAAGTACCTTGATTATGGTTTGGAGAACTTGGATCACTTTGGTTAGCTTGTTGGCGATTTGAAGAGTGGTCAATATTATCCTTCTGAAAGAACAGACAAAACAGACATTAAACATCTGGACAAATTAGTTTCAACCTATTTAGAGATCATAGTCAACCAATAACATAATGCAATATCAATGAGATCTCCATAATCAAATGCTCTGTAAAAGCAGTGTAAGTGCGTTAGAGACCAGTGTGTGCGAAGTGCCAGGTGTATCAAATTACAGAGGACCAGCTGCCCCTCATCTCACCCGCGTGTCCCTGGATGACCTCTGAGTATTATATCCATATTAGTGCAGGCGTGTACCAAGTGCATAACACTTGTGCTTATACAATTTGACTTATTTGAGCACAACAGCTGATTATTGTAGAAAAACGGGACATGTTTTGGGCCAAAGTGTGCATATAAAAACAAGCTGGCGTCCCGTGCAGAGAATGACAAAAGCAAGGAACAGAATGTACTAGGGCAAGCCACTGTGATGTAAAAAAAGAAAAAAAAAACATTGCTACTGAATGTCTAAAGCGGACCTCCTCTGATGCAGTATTTATTACCAGTTTATGTAGCTCTTAACTATTTTTAAACAATCTATTTGGATGCTGTCTTTGACTGGAAGGCAGAAATGTAATTTAAATGTTAGTAATATTGTCTGCATTTTCAAATGATCTAAATTTAATTACTTGATTGAAATTGTTTAATACTGATTACATCACAATATTATAATCAAAACAAAGGAAACCTTCCTTTGCTTTGACTAATCCCTGTACGACTGAGGGCTTACACAAAAATATTATAATCATAACTCCAATGCAACAGATGTACAGTGAAATGTCCAGCGCTACCCTCTTTTATATAGGATTGTTATCATGTAAATCACAATATAATATTATACAGTTAGAGACACATTAACGAGTCAACTGGAAAGGCATTCTGGGAAAATTATCTTTAGTTTATTCTTAAATGTTGAAATTACAAGGGCTTCCACATTGGAATGACAGTATACTCAAATAATTAATTTCAGTTGTAAAGTTATTTTAAACTGTATACATAACTAAAGTTTGACACAACAAATAAAACAAAAAAAAGAATATTTTTGCTAAAATAAAAAATAAAACAAAACTCACTCTGACTTTAAGTAACTTCAATCTCTCCATTGTTCAAAGACAAGATCCATATTTTGATTCGTCCTTTTTGTTGCTCTCTACTGCTCTGCCTATACATTTAGTCCCGGAACGCAGCTCTCCCTGCCCTTTTTTCTATACTTTTCTCTAACCCTTCCACATCCAATCATGACATTGTTCGTCACCCCGGTTTTGTCTTCAAAGTTCCAGCTGTCTAGACTCCAGCGCTAAAGAATTTAATGAGACTAACCTGCCTTAAAAACGGGAGGGGGGACCATAATATAAGGAAGCACGCCACCCCATTTGAGCTTGTGACACAGCGGACCCCCGGTGCAATGTCCGGAGGAGAAAGCAGTAGACTGTGACTGATCCACAACCAGTCACCCAAACAGCACTGGGATGCCATGCTTCAGCTATACCAAAGAAATGTGGGCACTCCTTCAGACCATATACTGGCAAGTAAAAGGTCAGGGGTTCGCAGCGCGCAATTACGTAACTGGACTAATAGAGACAAATATTACGGCACAGAGATAGACCTTATGCAAATATGTACCCAAGCTCTGGAAAAGAAAAAACGACGCAACACTCTTTACACTCTGAGGCCAGATGCCAGGGCAAGGTTGACCCAAAACAATTTTAAAAGGCACTGAGCAGAGGTTAGTCAGGTTAAAAAGTGTCTAGAAAAAACAGCCAATCATGCAGAATAGTTTAATTATAGCCATAACCAATCACTATCTGTTACAATCGCAAAACTCCTTTGCTCCTCTGTCACACATTCATGCAGGAAATAAAATGAATTGCTTATACAAGGAAACAACAAAGACATAAATTAAACTTTGAATTTTGAAAAAGAAAACAGAGCAAAAAAGTGGTCCTGAAAAGTTGACTTTTTCAGGGCAATTACATTTCATTATAAATGTGAACATAACATACAGTGCATGCAGTTAATCTGTACATTAAAAATAAACATGATTCAGAATAACTATAAATACTGCTTTTATGATGATCTGGTGTGCCAGTGGGATGGACACTGTCTCCTATCGCAGTGTAGAGGTGAGGTGAAAAGAAGATTCCCCATATTGAATCATTTTGATTGTTGATTCTATATAGAGAAGCAAAACAACAAGCATAGCTAATACAGGCTTTACATTTGTATGAACTAGAACTAAGATTTCTTGTCCTATAGAGCAGAGAACATTGTGTCTTTATTACTACAGTCTATGGTATCATCAAACTGATAGAACCAATCCTGGAGGAATTCACATTTATAGTTTGCTAAGAGTTATGTCCTACCTGATAATTTGGATGATGCAGGAAGTAATCGGGACAACCAGCGAGAGCCATGTTTGCACACAAGATGATGAAAGGGCAAACTGTAGAGAGAAAAAACAAAAAACAGCATTAGAAACATTGTAATGAAACAAGCATTGTTTCACGGTGTAGAAGGATACAATGACAGAGATAAGAGGTTGATGGATGAAAGTATGTTTTGAAAAAACCTTTGCTGGACTCATATAGTCGTCTCCACGTTTTAAATGTTTTAACAGTATCCCATCACCTGAGGCGGCACCTGCAACACCACTGTCTCTGAAACACTTCTCTGGCCTATAAATACACTGCAGGCACCTCTCCAGGTCCTAAGTTAGATAGAGGATTTATTTTTGAGCAAAGCAGCTCTGGCTCTCAACTCTGAGACGCTTTTATGCATCAGTTCATGACCCAAATTGCATTTCAAAACTATGTAGAGAAACTTTATATATAGGGTTATTATTATTTTGTTTGTCTTAGTTGAGGTGAAGCTGCCATTTGTAGCACTAAAAAGTGGTTGTGGACTTTGATCTTGCATGTTATCATAATAGTATATACCATTCACTGTATAATTATCGCCCATACCATGTGTGTGCATTATGGTATATAGTGTATAATGTATTTTAGTTTGTTAATGATGTAGTATTGGTCAGCAATCAGCCATATCTCACTTCAGATGATCTAAGGAAGTATTTCAGTTTGAACCAAGGCATTAAGTAGCAGAAGCACCAAACCGTCATACATTTGCAATCTCACAGTGAGGGCAATCAGATGGTCTTCAGTCACACATAATTTTACCAAACAATCTCAAAGATGATGTTAGGGCTGCACAATATATCAAAAAAATATTCTTATTGCGATATTGGTATGTGCGATATCCATATTGAAAAGATGCTCAATAATTTTGATTTAGTAATGTATACATTTCTTGTACGCGCACAGTGACAAATCTACTGTGACGAATCTTACGAAACTGCAACCCAGTGCTGCCACATGCTAGAGTGGAGCACGGCACAACAAGCAGATGATGATGCAGAGTGGAACTTGTTCCCAAAAGACACTCCACAGCCACCTCCAGCACAACTACAAGGTACTTTATGCTGTGTATTTACAAAGTCAAATGCGCAAACATTAATGACAGTTTCACTTCTGAAGCTCCTTAAGAGAAAACTTAACCAGTACGCGATATATGGCAAAGTGCACACTCTCCGTTAATACGGTGTGTATGGAATTGGTAATTTAAGCCAAGATTTGAGGTGAATTTGTGTGCCATACTGCATTTGAATGTAATTAATGTTGTGCTTAAAATTTGTTAAAGATTTTTCTCTTGACGTTCATGGCAGATTGCATTTTTAGGTGAAAGACAAAAATATAGCCATAATATTGTTATCAAAATACTAAACACCTATATCAAATATTGCTCTAATTTCCAATATTGTGCAGGCCAAATGGATACTTAAACATCCATATGTGTGTTACACTGCGGTTTCCTAAAACCTATCACCATATCAATCTCCAATATACTGTTGAAATGGAAGAAATATTGTTCAAACATGGTCTGCAAGGAGTAACAAAACACTGGTCATTAGTATGTATTGTAGTGTGGTGTAGTGGTTCATTTACCCCCTCTGCTGTAATGCACACATTTCTAAGTGTTTGAAAATTGTCACTTGTCAATAATGGGTCACTCATTTCCCAGTGCATATCTCCAGGGTATTTCTACTGTATATGGCAACCCACTACTATCTACGCCATTACAATTCTTATGTTTAGTCATCTTGGTGACCATCTTTACATTTTGCATAGATTTCTTGTTTCACTGTTCACAAGGTTAGAAACCACAGTCCCCAAATAGAGACCAACCAGCAGTAGTGCTTCATCCTCCTGTGTGTAGACGTTCATGTGGCCCCTCATACTGGAGCTGATCAACTGGGCCTTTCACACAGGCTCAGTCATCTTAGGAATGCACCATTTCTATAAGACACATGGTACTGGGCAAATGTACTACAATAGAGCAACATGAATGTTCTATTACAAAAGATCCTAGCATCGGTTAGCTTGAATTGAAAAAAAAAAAAGTCTCCGGCCCTTTAGATTTGGTTGGCCCCAGTCCAGAGACAAGTTCTCTTACCATGGGAAAGCCTTCATTGTTGATTATATATTTATGTTTTCACCTTGAGACAAAAAGGTATGGACAAGGAAAAGTTTAAAAATGCTTGTTTGCATAAATAACCGTTTGAGCAAAGAGTCACATTGAAACAGCTCAGCAATTTGTCAAGTTCCTGCAATCACAGCAAACAAAATGAGAGGACATCTCCTTCGACAGATGCATTAAGATGATATAACCTTAAATTGCGTCGATGCCATAGCTTCAACTTCTTTTAACTTCTGATAACGTGAAACTAAAAAATATGAACGTTACACAACGTTACTAGTTACTACAGAACATTATTATTTATCATATAATGAAATAAATGGCCCATTTATACTAAGTGGATGTTTGCAATGTTTTGACATAATATGCAATTTCCTTAAATAAACCAACACACACATACAAAATACTGATAGGAGGAAATACAAAGATTCTTGTAACGTTTTGCGTTATCTTTTGCTATTCAACACGTAGAGATCAAATGTATACAGTACATATGCCCTACAAGTAAAACAAAAGAAGATAGCTTCATGTCTGCTGTCATTATGTTAGCACGGTAAACAAAATACAAACTTCCATCTGTCAAATCCATGCCAAAAGTAATAACACAGAAAACAGCGTGGATATTTCTAGGCGATTGGTCAGATGAGAGCAAAATTGTATGTTTTGGTCCAAATGCTAAATGTTATGTATGGCACATAAATACCAATGGCACCTTTTTTACCATCAATCTCAGTGTCACGCCCAAAGACTTGCACCCTTTGTTGCTGTGGTTCCAGCAAAAGAGTATTTCACAAAGTATTAACTGGTGTTGTAAGAACCACATGCATCTGTTGCTTTCAGAACTATGACAGGGCATTGTAAAACGAGATATGAGCTTTGAAAGGTTTGCCATATATGTCAGACTGACCTGTCAAAAGAAAGGGCAAACATAGTAAAATATGTCTGACGTTTCTGTTCCTAAATATGATTTAATTGGATTATAAACCCTTTATAAAAGACTACCCCCTCCTCACCCTACAGCAGTCTCAACATGAACAGTGTCTTAATTCATGAAATGGCACCGCTCCAACTTTGTGTCTGGACTCAGAGGCTATTGAAGTGAATGTACTGACTGAAACACGACCCCCAGAGAGTAGAGGTCAGTGACTGAACTATATGTTTAAATTTGTCAGACACCTTCAGTGACAACATTTATCCTGACGTTTTGGGTTATCAAAATGTCCCACGGAGTGCCGACCTATGGAAATTCAATATGGACAGCATGCCAGACCCACAGTTCTAGTATTGTGTTGCCGTTTTTCCCCCCGAGTCCTGACGGAAAGCTTTGAAGGATGTTTTGTGATATGAAGAAGAAAACAATTCCTCATATATGTTACTGATGTGTTAACACTATGTGGCTTGGGCCTTTCTTTCACATTCAATATCAGGTTATTGGCAATGCTCAGGACTTCATTACACTATTCATCCATAATAATAATACAAATGTATTGCATATACAACATACAAATATATACTTTAAAATCGACATTATGTAAACGAGAATCATTAGTTTATGGAGCTGTCTGGCCCCGAGCAGTTGTCTCTGGAGAACAGTGACTTACAGACTTCCAAGATAAAGCTGAACAAAGCATCTCTGTGCTCACTTCAAATCGGCAGATTAGATGGTCATTCCTCACTCGATGTGCCTGTTGCTCATGTTGATTAGTCATTAATTGGCAGATTTCATTATTTGAGAGCACTAGCGGAAAGTGAGGCTATATGAAAAGGGCCTGATGTCATGCCGGGGGACACAGAAAAGCCTTTTGGAAAAGTGGACAGTGCCTAATTGGATGAGGATTTCATTGGATTGCTTGAGAGAACCAAGCTTATGCAATGACAGAGATGAATGAACAAGCTGGAAGCATTGGAGCCCAGGCTCAAGTTTACTAGAACAATGGGTGAAAATGGTACATAGGAGTAGTACACCATCACCAGTGTCATGTTTTAACTTGACAATGTCGACCACAGCATCTTGTTTAAATTGTGAAATCTAGGGCCTCATAAAGCTGATAATGCTTACTCTTATGCAGACACAGGGAGAACATGCAAACTCCACTCAGGAAATTACCTGCTGGGATTTGAACCCAGAACTTTATGAGCTCTTAAAACTTGGTTTCAGCTTCCTGTTTGGGTGGCAGACTACCAACAACTCTAAACAATGACCCATTGCTGGGTTAGTCAGCAGTGCAGCTACACAGGTGCTAAGAGCACTGAAAAAGCAAAGGAGGGACTAACGTCTATAGATGTACAGATTCTGTACCACATGTTGCAAGTCAAATTTATTTTAACACACTAAAAAAAAAGGACAGCTTTGAGCCTTCATTACACAATTTTCTCACAGGAGTAATCCAATTGATACCCCATTCTTATGTAATGTTTTGTATATTTGGGAACGTTGATGTTCTCTGCACAGACATTGAAACTAAATAAGTTTGTCAGGGTTTATCAGTTACTGTTTTTTTCTACTAATTCCTACCCACCTCTTATGAGAATAATGCAGTAAGAGGGAGAAGTTGCCAAGAACAACTTCAGATTTGAATAGCCACATCAAACCAGTAATATCAACAGTTTTTTTACCATCTAAAAAAAATTGCCAGGATAAAAAAAATTGTCTTATTTTTAAAGCGGTCTTGGAGATTCTTATCCATCCATGCATTTGTCTCCAGTAGGTATTACTACTATAAAGGGCTGGTCGCTCCAAATGAGCAGTCTAACAGCTACAGTATATTCAAAACGCTGCAGTTTGAGTCTTGACTAGAACCAGGAAGTATTATCATGTTAGTCCAGTCCTCAGGTCTCTGCACTGGCTTCCTGTGGCTCAGAATAGACTTTAAAACAGCTCTGCTTGTGTGCAAGTCTCTCCATGGCCTCGCACCAAAATATATAAGTGACATGTTAGAACCAACTCGCACTCTGAAGAGCACAGGGACTGGCCTTCTGCCTCCCCATGTTGAGTCAGGACTAAACATGTGGAGGCTGCATTTCAGATTCAGACATCTAAAATCTGGAAAAGCCTTCTTGAAAATGTGAGACAGGCTTCCTCTATGTACAATGATTATTTATGATTTTAATGCCTTGTGGGATTGTTTCCATCCTGTTTTGTTCAGCACTTTGAGTAGCCTTGTGTATGAATTGTGCTATAAAACTGTCTTGCCTGCCTTACATGCAGTAGATAGAACAAGAGCTAACCACGATTACTCAAGTTAAATGGCAGCATTGTTCGAGTTTTAATCATATTGTACATCTACCGACAGCGCCAACTAACCATGGCTTATTTTGATTCCACAGGTCCGATTCCATTACATGTGCAGAGAGACCCATATCAACATAGAAAAGAATAACAAGAGAGGAATTCAATGGTCGGACACTTGGCCCTACAGCTAGACACTACTTGTATATACTGTATGATAGCCAGATTCTTTTATCAAATACTTGACTGTGTCCAAAAGTCTTGCCATCACCCTATCATCGACCCAAGCTGGTTTTGGTTACCTAAAGAATAAAGACAACTTTATTGCCTTTCGACAGACCTGGCCTTGAGTCACAGTTGACCAGCTTGTCCACTGTGCACTTGTGGTTAGATAAGTCAGCACTGCATCGGCTTCTGTCACCAGTGAATGAAGTGAAAGAACTTTTCCAGTTAAACCTAAATACAAAAATATCTAAGCAAAAACTAGACAATCTGGTCAAATATCTCACTGGTTTGAGGACACTGCAACAGATAAAGCAATAAAACCATAGGTGAATCTGTACAGTGAACACAAATGCAATTCATTAGTTTTGGATTTTTTACTCGAAACCTTGGCTCTTGCTCCGCGCAAATGTAGCTGCAGAGACGGACCTCCACCGGGGTCTCCCCTCTCTCCCCTCTCGACCTCACTCACTGATCCGCGAGTCAATCTCTGAAGCAGTGTCAACTGCTTATAACTATTCTTTTTCTCCATCACTCTTGCTATACTATCGCTAAACTAGATCACTGATCCGTCTCAATGCTACAGCAGCACGCTCTGCTACAGCACCACGCTTTCTCACACTCCCACACTCCTCCTCCTTCTCTCCACTGACTTATGACCTCTCCTGTGGTGCAATACTGCATCCTACTGGTGGTGATTTATCATTACAGGTACATTTGTACTATATATCAGTGTTGTGGGTCATTCACAAGGTGCGCCAGACATTACTGCAGCCTCCCGTGTAATAACACGAAAAACTCGTCAAACTCGTCATGGGCAGTGAGCGTTACTATTCAACATGACGAGTTTTGTCGTCATGGGCAGTGAATGAGTTAAAGGAGCTGCTACACTGTTGAAACATTTGAGAAAAAACTTACATCAGATAAAGTCTAAACAAAAGAATATTGGTTGATTGTCCAAACTCTTTAAGAAACATGATATGATGTGTGACCTGCTTTAAATGGCATAAAAAGCAGGCCACACCCAACTTTTGATAAAATATAAAACACAACCCTAAAATGTCAAAGTTGAACGGTAATATACAATATCCAAATTAGTCTCATAATCACAATCTAGCAGTCAGAAAGGCATGGAAATTACAATGTAAAATGAAACTGGCACTACATTACTAAGTCAAGTAACATGCCGACTTCTTTGAAATGCTGACACGATAGGCAAAACTCTTCTGATTTCTTATTCAAATGAGAAAAAAACAAGTATTAGTTTACAGTTAAATCTTGTGCGTTTACAGTAGGAACCTTTTTCAGCTCTTGGGACTTTTTTAGTTCTTAATACATTCACACAACATGAACTGGGGAATGACACATGTACAACACGTACTGCCCATAAACAGCAGGTTAGATAAATAAATAAGAATTTAATTCAACAAATGCATGTTTGGACCATTCTTCATAAAAAACGTATCACGTAATTTAAAAAAATTTCCAACCGAATTAATCAAAGCATTAAATAGAACATCATACATGTTCCCCGCTGTTCATATTAAGTCCAGCGAGACCGCAACCAATAAGACCATAAGACATACTTCACGACTCCCACTGATGTCTGCTGTCGTTGTGTCCTTAGGCAAGACCCCCCCCCCCTGAAAGATCTCAGCTCCTGTGGACTCGCCACCTGCAGGAGGATCAGTGAGGGGCTGGTGCTCTGTGGACTGGGTGTAGCTCTGACTGCCACCCCCCCGACACAGAAATGGATTAAGGGGAAGAAAATGGATGGATGGAGATCGCAACCAAGGGCCAAGGGGAACTGGGTGATGCCTCTGACTGGTCCATAATAGGTTCTTATATAGTTCCTGATATTGTCATATGCAAAAATATATTACATAATGGGATTAGTAAAGCTTTAATTCATTGCAATAAACATTGAACAATCACTTTATTACAATTTTAGACAACATGCCCAACACTGCAGAGAATAGCTTTTAGGATAGATAAAAGGATTGCAATTGGTGCATCTGCTGCAAGACCAGCAAACATGGACATTGGCAATGCTAAAACGTTGGGAAATACACATATAACGCAGAAATGAACATGGCTGCATTTTGAATAAAGTTATAAGAGCTAAGATGACTACAACAGTGATAATACTTTTTAATAACTCATGATTTCACCCAATATGAATAGGACGTTTTTGGATCTGTCTCACGTCCTTCGCTACTACAGGAGCCACTTCCAAAAGTATCCCCTGGCCTAAAACCCTTTTCTCCTCCCCACCCCCAATGCAAACTCCTGCCAAAAGGAGAAGACGATAAGGTCTGCTGCTGCTGCTGAAACTCTCCCAGAGCTGAAGGGCTGTTGTTGGGTGCTACTGTGGTGTGTGGCGGCTCGGGCGAGGTGGGACGAATGGGGGGAAAGGAAGGGGGGCCGCCACGGGACAGAAAGTAGTGGACAACTGCACACTTACGTAATTGTAAACAAGTCGAGCACACGCATTCATTGATTTCGCTGGAAGACGAAAAAAAAAAGGTCTATGTTTTACGGTCAGTAGAGGACGCGCGGATGGAAGGGAGTCATTATATAAATAAATATAGAGCTTGGATGTTTTGAAATAGCAGTGATCGTGCAGGAAGAGTAATAAGCACGTTTTACTAGTTCCCTTTAAGAGCAGGCGAGCATGTGCAAGAAAGCGCACGGTGTTGGCTAAACTTTTCTGACACGCTGCTTCGGTGTGTAGGCGCTTTCTACCCAAACTTCATATGTGTTTTCATTGTAAAAAGTCAATGATCAAGCCACTCACCTCAAAGTCACAACAGAGCAGGCGACGCGCGGGGGCCACAAGTACGTACGCGTGGAGGGGCGGCTGCGGGAACACAACTGGACAGCGCTGGTTCACTGTCTACGGGTCAACTTTCCCGAGAGGCACACTACACACACGCACACGGCGAGGAGGAGGAAGAGGAGGCACAAAACACAGTGACCGCAGAAGACCAGGCAGCTCGTCTCATGCTGTCGTGGGGAGAGACACCAGCGCGCGCAAGTCCACGCACACACACACATACACAAACACAAACGCTCACGCACGCACGCACACTCCATGCAGCGAGCAGGCACAACAACTCCTCCCCCTTTAAACGCTGACCACGCCCACCTGAAGCCTGATCAATGCTGCGTTCATGTCCGGGAAAATAAGGGCGTGTTCTGAAAGATATGTACAGTGAAGTCTATGATAATATCGCTAAATATACGACGTTTTGGGGTGCTGAAAAGTTTGTGGTGGGTGCTGTGTGTACAGACGTATCTATATATTTAAAGAGTTCAGTTTACTTATATTTATTGAAAGACCTCCATTTTTATTTTTGGCCATTAGAATTTGATTATGATACATGTCATGTTCTAGAATCTGAATATCTTTACTATAGAATACAAACTATTAGAAAGGGGGTTAAAAAAAGCTTTCCGCCTGTAACTTCCTATGCTACCAACAGAGGGATGAGTCGAATTGTCAAAAGTAGTCAATGGGCAATACTTTTGTTTTATAATGCAGAAATTTGCTCTGAGGCCTGATGTCCTAGTGGTACAATTACAAAATTCATAATATAAAAGCACATGGTAGCCCACTTGGAGTCTGACAAAAAGCAAAATGACCCTCAGAACAAAACACACCGAATTGGCCTGAAGAAAACAAAACTATTTGGGCTTAATGTCGCATGGAGGAAACCAGGCACTGTTCCCCTGGCAGATATCATTCCATAGGGAAGTATGGTGAGGCCAATATCGTGCTGTGGAGATGTTTTCACTTTTCCAAACCAAGAAGACTTGTTGCAATGAACAGTGACTGCGCCTCAACAAAGTATTAAATAAAGGGTGCAAATACTTCTGTTCATGCATAATCTTTACATTTTATTGTTATTCTGAGACTTCTAAAAAGTGTTATTTAATTTTGTCATTATGAGTTATTGTGTAGATTGTTGAAAGCACTGTAGAATAACACTATCTTTTGAAAGGCCAGTAGGGTACAGGGGCAAAAAAAGGTTCAGCATGTATTGCACAACTGGGGTTACATCTCACTGTACTAAAGTAACCTCCTTGTGTTTATGTCCAAGGTGCCTGAAGCTAATACATAATCCACTCATGCCATACAGCTTTGCGCAACCATTTGGAAACATATTATGTACATTTGAGAGGTATGGCTTAAGTTGAGCTGTAATGCCTCAGTGTAACCCCTTGATAATGTTGTTTTGCACTGCGTGGGAAATTCAGATAAGTTCAGGGGTGGCACACAGCTTGGCAGTCTCAAGTTCAGGGGAGGGGGGGGGGGGTATTTTGTACATAAATATTGACAAATATATGCAAATCCAAACTAAATACTAAAATGAACATTGCGTCTCCTCAGACAATCAATATCAAGTGGCTTTTGTTGCATTGATTGATCTTGTATCTAACGGGCCAAAACATGCTGTATACTGTTTACTCTCTTACATCACTCATGGTCGACTGTTCAAAGCAACATCCGTCACTGCCAACCGTTAACGTCACATTGTTTACCTGTCAAGTGTTCTCATGCAAAATGTTTAACCCCACATTACCAAACCTAGTTATTACCTACCGATACACGCAGTGAAAATGTGACTTAAATGACATGCTTTGATACTCTAAATAGTGAAAGTGGAAAAGTGGAATGTGGTTAAGATCTACTAACATGTCTGGAATTCTAACTAAACACATTTTATAGTATCGTTTGGTGTCATTGTGGCTGCTCAAGGGAGCCTTTTGTTGTTTGGTTACAATGGTTTGGAAAAGTTACAAAAGGACACAACCGCATTGACAACAAAAACATGAGCCATACCCACAGACATACACCCATCTAAAACGTTTTGTTTTATTTTTTACAATTCCTATTCTAGTTTTGATTAAATGTTGGTTTTTAAAATATTATATGAAATAGTGCGAACAAGTTATAAGAGTCATAAATATATAGAGATGCATGTGTAAAGAAATTGTCATACAAATATTTTCTTAAAGGAGCAGTATGTAAAAAATCTGGCCAAAAGTGGTACTGCACTCGCTCTGACTCAGGTTGCCAGATATGCAGACAAATCCAGCTGGGACCATAATATCTGAATAGTTTTGTCAACAACAAATTTATAACCAATACCTTTTTCACAAATATATGAATCCTGGTTTTATTCCTTGTTTTGTCATGAACGATTTGAGAATCATAACAAACCCTTTTTTAGTTCTGCGGCCACATGTTACTTTATCAGTTAGATTAACTCAACGCGTTGAGTTCTGGCAACCCGGATCACAGCCTTTTGTTAAAATGGTGAAGGGCGGGACATCGAAATGAAAATAATAACAAGATTTACGGGCTGTAAAACTAATTTTGTAATTCGAATATCTCGACTAAACTACTGTTTATACTTAAAGAACGATTTGAAAAGAGCATGGTTTATATTAATGCCTTTTGACAGATTAGGGCCATTTAATGATGACTTGACATGGAAATCTTACATATTGCCACTTTTCTACTTGATAAAAGTGCACACTTGGTACATGCATTAGACATTAACAGGGACAATAGTAAAGTATATTTCCTCCAAATTCCTATCCATGTGAAATTTTGCAGCTAATTTAGAGTATTTGCTAATGTCACTGGGGGAGGGTCTTGTGGTTGGCTAGAGTTTCAAGAAGCAGGAATGCAGGTTAGGTTCAAGTTCGGAGCGACACATTTCTGCGACCACAGTGATGAGTCAGGCCCTGGAGCGACTGCCCGGAATAGAATAAGCTCATTTGTGGCAAGAAGCAAAACCGTCAAATACAAAGTGAGAGAGGGAACAATATTTGTCAAAAGATGAAGACAGTAGTTTACTGCACTGCTGGGAACCATATCAGCACCAGTGATGCTTTCCAGAACATGCATCTGGTGACTGTAACGCTGTCAAGAAGCTGTAGAGGCATTCTGTTCATTACTTCAAATAACACACATTCCAACACATTAGAAAATCATTTATTCAATCAAAGAATACAAAATTATCATGCACAGTATTCCAATGAAACAATGTTAATTTTTAATCTGAAAAATGTTAGTGTCTGTGCTGCTATAAAACTTATTCAAATATAATCATTTTTACAATATTTACAGTGCTACAAAGTGCTAAGGCAACAACACAAATGAAAGTGATTGAGTCGCATTTCTGCAAAAGTCGACAAAAAACAATTATAGACATTTAAGTAATTGTGCTTTTTTTTTGCTTCAGTTACGTATATACATTTTTAAAGTCTTTTGTATGTATTGTCTATCAATTAAATGTAATAGACACAAGAACATAAGCTGTACAGTAATTTCAGAATCATAAATATGCTGTATTATCTTATCTATTTGTTGTATGCAAAGGATACCTAACAATGTTTTAAATGTGAAATTACAAATAATGGTATCATTTTAATCCAGGAATGAAATAATCTTCCTTGTACAAACAGCAGATTAAAGATCAGGCACTTTTGTCTCTGACGCCACACTCACAAATGAAAACTGCACAGGTTGGCATAAAGAATCACAAAATGTCTTTTAAAAAGCCTTCTTAAAACTCCAAATTATTGCACACCATTAAGTGTTATAAATTAATCAACCAACGTGACTGGCTGAGCAACAGTATAAGGCTTCTATAACTTATGAAGTAACTTTTTACTATCTAAACATCACCCCTTGTTCAATGGCACAATTCCCACTGCTCAAGTTCATCAATTCAAGTACACATAGCAAAATATATCAGAAATGATGTAAATAATATAATATTATGATACAGTTGGCCAGAGTGAGTTCAGAGTGCATACCATACAATTGACTGCAGTGACTTTTATCCTCTGTTGTCCCTCATTTTTACATCATCAGCACGATGCAATGATCCACAAGCAAAAACATGAAAGATGAGGTCAGGAGTAGTTTTATTTAAACTATGATGCAGTGGAGGACGTCGCCTTGATTGTTCCCAGTCTTCCGTTCACTTGGACTGTCTTTGCGGGCACAGCGACCTGTAAGGAGACACAACATACAGTAGTAATGAAGGCTTATGTAATCTGCTTCTAAAAGGCTGCTCAGAAGCCACAGGCCGGGAGTAAAAGTGTATTATTTATTTCCCCCCAAAAACGTATTAGTAGATTTAGCTTTTCAGCTGTGTGTATGATTTCTGTCGGCTACTTCTCTGTTCCTGTGATACATCTGGAGCAAATGCTAAGTAAATAAAATATATTTTCTGCTAATTTTTTGTTCTTGGCAGTAATGACCACAGTATGTTTACAATGAGGGACTTGTGTTTGCTTGATAATAAACAGGCTTGGACAATCAGCAAATTATAAAACATACTAATAATTGACTATTCTACTCATTGTAAAGGGGAGAGTGTGATGTCTACTGTATTATAATTGTTTACTTTACATGTTCTACATGAGTTCTTATGTGATCAAAACATTAATTCCCAGTAAAAGTTTCAAATAAATAAGTGAAAGCCTTAACCTGGAATTGAACTTCCTGACGCTCTATAGTGTTCTCATAGAGGAGTTCATCTGGAGTTTGCTGCCGCCGCTGCGCAAGCAATCTTTGTTCTCACTATGAAGTCTTAGATCCAGGCGGCAAGAACAAAGGAGGAGAAGCCTGTCTCATGTCACTGGAGTATCTCTGAATGGATCTGGGCTCTCCTAGTCTGTGTGTGTGTGTGAGTGTGTGTGTGTGTGTGCTTGCTCTACATCTATCTGATGTGTTCTATTTTGCAGCTGTTTTGATCAAACCCCACAAGCACAATGAAGCCTCTCATATAGGTTTTTATTCCATATATTTCCTTTGCTTTTGCAAAAGTTGAAAAGTAAAAAAATAAATCTAATAATGATGTGACTATAATCTGTTATATTGTCAAGACTATTGTGATGATAATATTTAGCCTGTGTTTTTGTTATGGTTGGATAACTGTAATGGAATTACCTTGACTTATGGAATCTCTGCTGTCCATGTTCAATAAAGGTAAGTTATTAACTTTAACAAAAAATCCAAAGCAGTAAAACGACAACTAAAACTTCTTATTTGTTTGTACCTTTTTTAGCTTCTCTGCAGCTGATCCAGTGCGGATGGCCTCCAGCATGGCCTCCCTTGCCACGGCAGAGTTCATATTTGGTTGTGACAGGGTGAAAGGCTTTGGCGCTGGAAGGACTGGAGGGGGCGGTGCAGGTGCCATTGGTGAAGGGACCATGGACTGAGGAGAAGGTGGCATTGAAGAAATCTGGCCACTACTGTTCACATCAAAGGCAGTCTTTCGGACATTTTCCAGCTCCTCAGCAGCTCCAGATTTGGTCTAAATAAAATAAAAGTATATTCATAGATTATCAACTGCAATTGGCCAAATAACCTTTCCCCAAGTGGAATGCTATTTATTGCTTTGATTAATGGACGTGTCAACTTTTATCCCAATGTTACATCAAGTTTGGTATGGTATATAACAGAATTTAGTTTTTTGTCTGTTGATCCAACAAACTGATTTTGAAATTATTTTGGACTTCAGGCATTCCTGAAATTCCTGTTTCTGGAAAAAAGGCCTCCAGAATAGAATCACAGATGTTGTTGCTGCAGCTGCAAATGTGAGCTTTGCTCAGACAATACCGGAGGGTTAACCAGTTAGCACTACAGAGCGCCATAGGAAGTCTTTCCTTGTGACTATCACACACCTGGGCAGGCAGAGAGTGACTACAATTAAATTTCAATAGTTTGAAATATTATAGATTGAGGCACTAGGTAATCTAGAATTTCTCTAAATGTATTCATGTTTTGATGTTTCTAATGCAACAATTACATTTGGGAATTAAATAAGGCAGTGTCTCCCAAAGTGGGGTCCGCGGCGCCCCCTGATGGGCCGCGAGGGTACTGCAGGGGGGCCGCGGGAGGTCATAAAAAAAAAAAAATATATATATATATAATTATTTAATGTTAAATTTATAATGTTTTGTTTGTAATATTAAAATATTTGTGTTCATTATTTGACTTGAATAATCCACTGTAATCATTTTTGTATTACAATGTTTGTAGCAGAGGCTATTTCCCCAAAATAAAATAACCAGAAGAGCCTATTCTTAATGTTGTCTTCTTGGTTATTATTTTGGGGGGGCCACGCAGACCCGTCAGATTTTTAAGGGGGCCTCGGTGTTACTGAGTTTGGGAATGGCTGAAATAAGGGATATCTTGTCTCTCTTTGGCATGATTTTATAGTTCCTTATATGTTAGTGTCTATAAGTGGATCAATGTTTAGAATTGAGCGTGTTGTGCTTGGCTGTAACATTCTCAACAGTAACACACAGTTGATTGATTGACATGGTGCTGTGCTCTGTTAATAATTCTGGTAGTATTTTACCTTTCTTAGCCTTCCGCTGTTGCCCTGGGCTCTGATGGCTGCCATTAAAGCACATCTCTCATTCTCCTCTTCAACATAAGACAGCGTTTTGACATTCGCCCCAGAAATGGGAATCTTTGAACATACCATTAATCAGAAAAGCAGTGTGAGTAGTGCTTCTGTTGTCATTCAAATAGAAACATTATATTAACATAAAATCACTAAAAGTAGGATTTTAGAAGTTTATGTCCTACCCACATATTTGCCATGCATTAAATCAATAATCAATTCAATCAATCAATAATAATATTTTGTTATTGTTTATTCAGTATTCACTTATATAGTATAACTTATTAAACTAGTGTTGCCTCCCACCTTCTTGAGTCTATCTTTGCCACCTCCACTCTGTATGGCCTCCATGAGACTGCTGTGTAGAGAGGTCTCCTTCTCCACTGATTTACAGATGACTGGTTTGAACTTCTTTATCGGCCCAAACACTGTCTCTTCTGGCGATCCAGGGGACTCTGTTACTGTCAATGAAGGTATCTTGTCTGTTTTAGGGAAGTCTGAAGGTGATGTAGTGTCTGGATTTTTCTAAAAACAAAACATTTACCTGATGTTACGCTATGTTTTAGTCAAGTATAATATTTTACAAACTAGTTTTTAATTTTATGTATATTTAATTGAAAAACTTAGCATTTGTATAGAGATTAACAGCATCAGTGTCCACGTTTGTCCTGAGCTCAATGAAAAATGTTTTCACTCACCAGCGCCTGCTGTTGGTGTCCATTCTTCAGGTCTGTAGGGGGTTTATCTGTCAGGAGCTCATGGCAGATGGGAGAGGGGCTTGGACTTTGTTGCTGCACAAGTTTGAACTTGTCACTTGCTTTCACATTTAATTGTGACAAGGACTGGTTATTGGATAATTTGTGAGATTCTGGTATCCTAAAGCTTCCCTTTCCAAATCCAACAGTCTGTTTTGAAATACTTGATTCTTCTACTTCAACTATGCTATCTTGTCTGTCTGATATATATTCTGGAGAACTCATAGACCTCTTAGGACTAGCTGTGTTAGATATAGATCTTAAACTGCTCACATTAGAGTGCTGAGGGTTGATATGCATTGATCGGCCTGATTTCTGATAGCCAGTATTTTGTGTTTTTGTGAGAAACTCCTGAGTCGACGGGTTATAATCAGGTTTTGTTGTTGGTTTGGGGACATATTTTGAAATAGCTGATGCAACATATTGGCTGGAGGTTCGTCTGGGTGGCTTAAGGAAAGAAAGATCTCTTTCAACTTCTGAAATACATGGGGTTTGTACAGACCTCTGACTCAAGATGATAGCTGGTGAAATCTTGTCGTCGATCATTATACAATCCTGTTCATTTAAATCAATGTGTTTTATCTGTTCAGCAACTGGTTTTGGCTCTGTTTGTGCAGTAGACTTAAAAAGTGTCCCATGGGAAGATTTCAAACCCTCCGTCTTAGTGGAATAATGTGTAGTTTCAAACGTTTTTGTCCGATCACTTTTATTGCTCTCCCTACTCTCTCTTGCCTTATCAGAATGGCCTATTTTGGGGGCTACAGTACCTTCCTGCTTCTCATTTGAGCTCCAGAAGGTGTTGGCTTTTCCAAGTAAAGAAGAATCATTTTTCAAATCTGATACAGTAGGAGTTCTGTGAGGGAACACCTTTACCATGTTCCCTTGTTCGTCTATCTTTATGGCACCAGGGGTGGTAGAGACAGATTCTCCCGCAGGAGCGTGTGAGACTGCTGCTTTAAGAGGGACCACAGTAAATGTTTTCATCCCAAAGCGAGAGGTAGCATTAGGAGTGATTTTAGTCTGTACAGGTTTTGAGGTGGATAGAGTGTGGTGAGTTCTGGGTAAAGCCATGTCTTCTTGGTTTAAAGGAGTTGGAGTAGCTTGGTGCATTTTCTCCACAGGTTTAGCGTCACGTTTATGACTGCCCTTCTGCTCCTGATCCTGACTACAGTGACTATTGTGAACAGTTGTCAGACTCGTACTTCGGTCACTTTCTTTTTTAGGAGTTTTTGTGTCCAAGGTTGTGTCTTTCTGTTGATGTGTTTTAGATCTTCTAGAATCTTGTATAGACTTATGTTTAGAATGTTGTTTAGATTCTGAACTGGCGCCCTTATTCGTCTCAGTGGCAGTATGAGCGTTATTGTTTCTATTATGAAGCTCATCACTGTAGTTGGAGGCTGCAAAAAATAATATTTCATATCAATTTCATATCAATATTTCAGTTTTTTAATAATATGTAAAAATATCATTATGTCTTCTTTTATGTTTTAAGGCTTGAATTATAAAAAAACATACTGTATTAACAAATAATACTGCACCTTTGTTAGCAATAGACTCTGCCCAGAACCCTTCATCAGGCAAGACTTCATCTATGGTTGTTACTGGCACATCATGATCCACTATAGAAAATGGAACTTCATTACTGTCTGCAAGAGATGACTCTAAATCTGCCAACGTCTGGTGAAGCTGAGCTGACAGATCCGGCTGCTTGAGCTTGTCTGTTTTAGGATGTGGGGGAACATCTCTTCTTCTGTTGACATAACAAATACAAGTGAAAAATACAAGCGCGCCATAACCCTGGAGAAGTATATTTATGGTTTGAAGGGCAGAGTGAACAAGCCAAAGGTATTATAATAAAATTACAGCTGTTCCAGTGTTATTTGTAAATAAAGTTCCTCACGGATGAATAAAGTAATTTGAATTGGAATAGAATTGATTTTTTTTTTTTTTATTAAAAGTTTTTTAAATTAATGATACTAAATATTATTATTATTATTTGGTTGGAAAAGTGCATGTTAAGGAATCTACCTATCCGGATTTTAGCCTTGGGCTAATTTGCATCCGTCATCCCACAGTCGCATTCAAAAGCCGCATCCAAAAGCATACACTCATTCACCTTGACTATTGAACATGTTTGTGGAAGAGGAAATCAGAGCTTGTGTCTGCTAGATACACAGACACAAGGAGAACCCTCCACTCAGAATGGGCCAGTCTGGAGGAATCAATCCCAGGACCTAACCGCTACACCACTGTGCTGCCATTTGATTCTATTTTGAGTCATGTTACATCCAACAACGTTCCCATTAAAATTATCCATAGAAGAGTATATGCAGTACAACTTCCTTAAAGAGAAAAAGCCTTAAGTATTTCATAACAATATTATACAGATGGCTTCTGTCAGGTTCAAATGTTCACAGTATTAAATGAATATTTGGTGTTTGGCACAGTCACATAGGTTTTCACAAACGAACTAGGCCAAGTGGCCTGGAACGTCGCCACAGGGGTGTGAAGGGGGCCCACGGTCAGAAGGGTTTATTTTATCTGTGCCAGCCGAAATGCGGTGTAGTACAATGCTCAGTCCAACTGGTGGCGCTAATACTAACTTCAGCGGCTACCTTAATTACGCGTTCAGACCGGATCATGCGTTGCGTCGACTTTCAATGCAAAGTCAATGGTGACGCGCGTTCGAGCGTCGAACTATATGTGTGTCTCGGGATACACGCACAGACTGCGCGGCAGAGGCGCAGGAGCGGAAAATTGACGCACACAGGAGATAAATATTGTTGAGCGTTTCCTCGGGACGCTCGTGCAGCGACCAATCAGAGACCCAAAAAGTGGTCATGGGGGTACATGGGCGGTCTGAGCAAGCAGACTGAACATACTGTAAACAGCCAAAACAGAAGCTACACCAGGACTAAACCAGAGTTGACAATGGGGGACATAGTGCTTGTGAACATATGCGTTTTCATGCTCCCGTGACCTTATCCAACTGCTTCGAGCGTGTTCGCCGATGCGGAAGTACCGTTTAATAATAAAACAAAAGTATGGCGCACCTCTGTGAACACATATTAATGTTACATAAAGTTTCTGGAAGGTCTCTGGACACAGACACGCTGCAGAGCTGCATTATTGAAGAAGAACTTTACACAAAAAGCCACTAGCTTAACTCGTTAGCATCAAAGTCCACCCGCTACTTCCGCCACTTCCGGGGGGCGCCGCCTAAGCCCAGTACTTCTGGTCTGAAGACCCCTGTGTCTGAAGATTAGAGAATGTGCGTATGGTGCGCGAGGCGTCAGCGTTCCAGCGTCGGCGGTGTGAAAGCACCTTAACACTAGCAAGAGAATGCAAAAGTATGAGACGTCACGGCGGGCGCAGCAGGAAGACGTAATGTGACGCCAATATCACTTCCCCACCACACCCCCCCACCACATCAACCCCCTTCATCTGGGCTTCATACAACCGTGCTCAGGCCTAGGTCTCTCAGCCATGCTCAAGCCCAGTTGCAGCGGCCACACGGCACCTAAAGCCCGGATCTAAATGCCTTCTGGCCCTAGGCCCGCTTTCGGTTGTGTTTGTGACCGCAGCCTTAAACAAATTGTTAAAACAGGGCCAAACCAACCAGTGGAGTAGGCCAAGGCCCTTTGAATAGAAAAAAGAATCATTGGCCTGCAGTTTTTGGCAATGATTCTGAGAAAACCGGATTTTAGTGCATTCCTGGAAAACCATAGAACAGGCAAAGCTGCAAATCTTTCTAGGTGTTCAAGTAGGCAACATATTATGTGCATGTATAGTGAATATATAACTCAAGCTAAGCTCGGGCTTTATTCCAAATACAACACCATGCAGCCCCAACAAGTGTATCAGGCATGATAACAATCTAAGCACAAATTCATTCAAGTATGAAAAGTAATGAGAAACAGATAACACAATAAATCACAACTAGGTAAGTAAAGAAGTATCACATTCTGGGAATAAGGATACTAAATAGATTAATGGAAAAGGGAGTAAATGAGCCATGTCCCCAGGGTCAATAAATTTAAGCAAATCATCTGCAAAAGTTACACATGGTTTAAATACAAATGGTGAATTGCAATGCAATGTGGTTCTTGTTCTCATTGACTTGTTTAACTGGTACAATATATTGACACGGATATGTCCTTCATACCTGTGTCGGGATCCCCAAGACCCCTCATCGCTGTCACTGAAATTGTCGGTGGCTGTTCCCACGCGCCTCTCTCCTCCTGTGCTTCCATCCAGAGATAGACTCCCATCTGGGGATGTGGTTTGTGTCTCGGAGGGAGAGCTCACCAGGCCAGAGTCTTCTCCAGGGTCTGCTAAGCTCATGCCACTGCTGCTACTGCCCAAAGACACAGTTTCCTCTGGAGACATCTCTTTACCTTGATCATTGGCTACAGTGCTTTGCATGGACTGAAGCCAAGCTGAAAGACATGAACAACCGCATAAGTATCAGAGTCGATTAATAATGAGCGTCTGGCTACAGACCATTTCTCACATGACCATGGGCTACATCCTCCACCACAATGCATATCTGCATTCATGTAAATGGATAATTTTATTTACTTTGCTTAAACTATAGGTTTTTGAGTTAACTGTCTTGTACAAGTAAAATGGGTCATAATGCATAATGATCAAAGAGTAGTAGGCCTGTAGAACTTTTTTTCCTTGGATATTAGCAGGGGTTGATATACTGTAATGCTTAGACAAATTTCTGATCGGAAGAACATAGAAACATTGAGCATTTTATAATTTCGAAAATATCACAAACTATAGCCATCAGAATGATGAGGTCTGCAGCCAGACTGCAGTAACAGATATATGTATTATAAAATGCATTCAACTATTTAGTAAGGCAACATGCAATGGACAACGACAAACTGTATTAGACAAAAAATAGAAAGACAACTTTAGAAGAGAGAGGCTCAAGCCCATTCAATCAACAGGCCAAATTAAAAAGCTTAGTTTGTTTGTGAAGAGTACTATGTAAATTGTCCCAAATAAATTACTGAATAAGAGGCTCCTTAATGTCACCACTCATTCCCAAGCCAAATTGAACCCCTTCGAGGTCCAGATCTGTTGTATGGGCCCCAAATTGAGAACCATGCTTTAGTAAATGCTCCAAATCCACTCTTGTATGGATAAAAAAAATAATTAGACAATATTCGTGAGCCAGACCACTTGTGGCTAGATAAATTGGTTTACTTTATGTGTGGGCAGATTTACTGTAAACAAATCTGTCTAATTGCAGTTTAACACTAGTGTTTAAAAGTGAGGTGACAAATTGCCTCTTATTGCCAGAACAGACTATGCTCTGGGCAGAAAATGTTGATCACATGGACGTTTTTTTTTTATCTGGCACGATTTAACTTTTACTCAGTCGAAGATAAAATCTTTGTTTTGTTTCTTTTGGACGTCACCCAGTTAAGCAGATCGATGATATTAGAGACAGTCTGAGATGCACAAAGAGCATTAGAGTATTCATTCATTGTCTTTTTGCTTACAGTATGTTGTTGGTAGGTGAAAACAGAACCTGTCAATTTTGGGACTGGTCCTAATGGGTTGGAGGGAACAGTGAGTTCCAGGAGATGTGGGGATGACTCACAGGGCTGTGCTCCCAGCTCCTTCCCAGCAACAGCTTAGTCATGCCAGTTACAGCCACAATGTGCACACAGAGAAACACAACTGCACACGCGCACTTCATGCACGATAAGGAAAACTCACAGGGAATATTTTCAAATGGGACACCTTCTGTATACAGCATAATCACAACATCATCCTTACAGCATAATTACAAGCTTGTCTTAATAAAAGCTTATAAATTTTTCTAGAAACAAATATTCTACTAACCACAAGTTCACAATATTTTTTAATCAAAAAGTATTCTTACAATAAAAAATACACTTTTGCCACTTTGCCACGTTACAGTTTTTTAAAAATCTTTTTTTGAATTAAATTATACAGACTCAATAACACAATGCTGGCGCGGGTATGGCTAGGTCTTCAAAAGGCTAACTCTTCCTTTGCCATTGGGAGGCATCGATCTGCACCTATCACATATCCTCGTCTCACAGGCTCGTTCGGCCGCATGTCATTCATCAATCACTTGAAAACTGATACATTGAACGCATCTGGACGAAGCCTCTTATAACCACTTCATGTGAACCACAATTTTAGTAAATAAGGATCATAATAATAATATGGGTTTAGTAAAAATAAGAAATGTATAGTAAGAAGGAATAGCTACAAATTGAAATTAATATAATTTTTGATCAAATATAAGAATTGAAAAAGGGTTAATAGCAAAAAAATAACATTACAAAGAAAGGAAATAATAATAATAAGCAGAAGAAAAAGAGAAAGAAGAAATAGGAGGTCAGGCCAGAGGGGAACTTCAGGGGTGTTTGCCTCTCAGTCGAACAGGCCCACAGCAGTACACTGGGAGGATACGGAAAGATAAAACACAACATAATGAGATTTGAAGCAATTTAAAGAAGAGGTTTAGAGTAGGAAAACATCAACTGCACAGCGCTGCTGTGACTCAACAATCCATTTCACAAATGCATTATCATTGAAACTTAAGAGGCGGTCTAAGTTGATTGGTGTTGACCCAAGTCTGACCTTTAGCTTCATGAAGACATATGGATTTTTGGATTGTCATTAACATTGACATAGGACCCTCCCAACTGAAAAAAATCTAAAATGCTTTTTCTAACATTGCTGAAAAAGAGTGAAATTGATTCCCCATACATGCATGCAGAACAGTAACCAAACAGGACAGGAACACCTAGAAAAGAGCAAATGTCAGAAGGTGGTGAGTTAGTCTGGAACCTACACTGAGTCTTTACAGCCCATGCGATTAAGGTGGGACGTATGTTCTATCTATATATAGATGTACATACAACCAATATATACGGTATATAACAATATATATATATTGTTATATATTATATATACAGTATACAGTATATTGTTATATACTGTATATATTGTTATATAGAAAAACATACAGTAGTTCAGGATGAATGAGTGTGTAGTTGTGAGTGCGACTGTGGCACGATGGATGGAAATTAGCCCAAGGCTACAAACTGGAGTGGTATGTTCATTAACAGGCACTGTCCCAACCAATAACAGAAAACATGAAAAATGAAAATGAAAAGTATTTAATACTTAATTAATTAATAGATAATTAATTTTATCAGCCTGACAGCTGAGTTTACTCTTTAGCAATGACAATAATGAACTGATCAGATTTTTCCAAACAAAATGAGATTGATAAAATTCAGTTTTATCATTGCTTATTGCCAAACCTGGGTAGAAATAAATTAATATGCCACAAATGCATACACAATAGTAATGCAACACTACTCAATTTACAAGCTTGTCGGGCAGAATATTATTATGAAATGCATGTAAGCATTAGCATTCAGATTAACATGGAACAGTTATTTCTTATTATTTGTTAATTGTCGTCAAAAACTGAAGCTTTGACAATATTTTCTAAATGAACTTTCTGTCTGATTGTAACTTTTTGAAATTTGTTACACTTAACTCGTGCAGAATCACTTAAAATTCACTTTAGACGTCAAACATTTTCAATTTAATCCTGCGGCTCCACCTCCCTCCTCCATTTATGCATTTATCTGAGCTCCACAACGTTCTGATCTTGGATCTTGTCAGACATGACAGCCCCATGCTGCAATCGCGCCTTGCTTCACAGAAAGAACAAAGATCGGCACGAGGCCAGCTAGAGTTCACCCAGCTGCTGAACAAGTCTGCATTAGACCTACCTTTAACGTGTTCAGAGAGAAAAAAAAAAGTGTAAACCCACGGAATAGGGTTGCGAAATGTGTGAGCAAAAGATAGACAAGGCCTGGTTTATCAAATTAGCTGGGAATAAAAAAGCTAACCCATATTCCTCAAATATGATTTTATACACCGTATACCACTATAGCCATTTTAAAAGGGCTGACTTCAAAAGCAAAACCCATAAAAAATATTGGTTTATATTGTAATCTATGCAAGTCATCAATGAAAAGTGTTGTTGTCTAATGTCTAACAGTATACCTGTGAATGAATATCCATGTTACTTAGTTAGTATCCGTTATATTGCACTTACCAACTCCACTGTGTCTGTTGTTCTTCGTCTCCTCCATTTTAAGATTCATAGCTGACACAGTGTCAGACCTAGAGCTGCTGGCCGTCGTCATGTCACTGGCCGAAATATTGGTGGAACCTTCTGATTTCTCTGTCCTGGAAACCGAGCTTTTTGTTATGGACTGGGCCTGTGCGGGTTCGCTAACCATGCTGCCGGTGGTGGTACTAAACTGAGAAGAAGCATCGGATTCTTCAAGGCTTGGACTGAGTTCAGAGCTTGAGTCTTGGGCGATGAGGCTGTCAGAGGTGATACTGCTTGGTGTGGAAGATCTGATTTCCAGACATATGGCAGATTGTTTGAGATGGACTGTTGAGGGTGTTACTGGTTTGATAGCATCTATTTCAACAGTGGTGGTGAGCGTGGTTGACTCTGAGGCGATAGCTTGATTGTGTTGGCTCACAGGTGTGGCTGTGGCAGAGAAATCCTCAGAATCATAAGAAAGCGACGGGGGTGTTGGTGGTGGCGCAGGAGCTTTCCTTTTTCGCTGCTCAGTGTCAGAGCCAAGACCCATCTGATGGAATACAGACAAACAACATTACCATGTTTTACCTTACTTTTTCATAAATTACATATTGTTTTGTCCCAATAGAAATATTCTTGGAAAAGTGACATTGTGTAAACAAATAAGACCAACACATGCAGTCTTATTAGAAAAGATGTTATCTTTTTTATACTTTTAAGAAAGACAACAGTGAGTCACTATTTGACACATGAGAAAACATAAGATAGAACCAAATTCTATTGAGATTGAGGGACAATACAATGGATTTCATGATAGTCCATTTATGTGTGGCTTGAAAGTTATGTTCCCTTGTTTTAATACAATATTGCACAAAATGTCAGCCAGAAAATTTCAATAACGAACAGTGATTTTATTAGGTAGCTAACTGCTGTTATAGAGAGATGTTCTCACTATTTTATTTGTTTCCAAATAATACTGTATTTGAAGTAATAGTACTCTTATTTCAGTCCCTTTTTGTTTCAATTTAGTGATACTTTTCAAGTGGAGGTTTGAACCAAAACATAACAAAGCAAATTTCAATTGCCTAATCAACCATAGATTATTCAGAGCCAATAGATCTTTATGCATGGTGAACAATGCAAGTGGAAACACAAAAAGCTTAATTTTAGGTAGGTATGTAATGTAATAAAAAAGTCTACAAAGCCATAACGGAGGCAACACGCTCATGCCAGCTGTGGAGTAACTATTAATTTAACTAACTAATATTTATTAAGGAATGGCTTATTCATTGGGTTTCTGAATTGTGAAGTCTTGCAAGATATGGCTCATCAGCCAAGATTTCAGTTATTTGCGGATTTTTTTAATTCTTCTGGAAGTAACTGTTGCATCAACTCATTTTGTTGAACTTTAGATATGTATGTTAGATTGTATTGTATTATTTGGATGGTACAGTGCATATTCATGAACAGCAGAATCAGCAAGATTCCATTGTTGCAATTACAATCCAAGTATATCAAATTAGTCCAGATAAGTCCAGAAAATATTATGCATTGGTTCCAAAAATCCAAACCGGAGGTTTCCTAATATTTATAATGCTTCACAAACTCAGGGGGCTTCTTAATGATAAAAAATTAAGCACTGCTCACAATGAACTTATTATGTAAGGACATTTTATTATAGTGGTTAAACTAATGAGATTATTAGCTGAAGTTTGTACTTAAAGTTGCACACTAGGATCATTTCTTATTTGAAATGCAGTTAAAACAAATGTTTTAGGACAATTAGGTGCCTCAAAACTTTTAGGTTAATTAAACTTATTTGGATTTACAGTGTACTTGATTAGTTGTTTCATCAAATATACCATGATTGTTAGTTTAGTTCCACATTTATAATGTGAAATGAGACAGAAATCAGAAAGCTGAAAGTGAAGACATTCTGCAAGAAGAGTCCAACCTCCCAGCAACATGCCTGCATGCGGGGGTATGCAGTCCTCCCATGCAGCACAAGAGCAGGCGAACCGAGTTCACATATGTGAACTCATTGAACTCACTGCATGGTATGGAATACACAAGGCCCCTGACATGTATTTCTCTTCCATCTTCTCCTGCTTTAACTCCATCCCTGGCTTTCATACATGCATGAAAGGAAACATGCGCCTGAATATGAGCCAGTGTTGAATCTGAAATTAATGAGCAGCAAACCAGAAAAATAAGAATAGAATATGCATGCATGCAATTGTGTGTGTAAAGGATTGTTGATGTGCTCTCTGCCGAGTGAAACATAAGCCTGCCGTCGAGCTCTGGTATGAAAAGTAAAGGACTGGGACCGCTGCAGTATGACTGAATGTCTCCACACAGGGAAACAGTATATCTCATATCTGCACTAAACTAAGAGCTTGGCTTAGGAGGTTGTTAGAGGTTGTGAGTTAAGTGTGTCCTACTCTCTTTCGTTTATTGGAAATGCAATAGGTACTTCAAGCTTTCAGGGCACAGTCACAGTCAGTCCCAAGGAGTTCACTTTAACTGGACCAATGAACATTTCTCATAAAGTCATAGATCTGTTTAAAATGACGTGAATAGGCATATGTGAATACAGAACCAGCTTGCACCTTTGTGCCATACATCATTCTATATTTCTGCCGGGGTCTAAGCGTCAATAAGTAACAACGTTGTTGATGTTCCGCTTGATAATCCACCTTGAGGGGCTCCCACCGTTAGGTATGAAAGTTGACCAACCAAATCAGAGGGCACCATTGTGCTTGGGCTGTTTATAATGACACCAGCATGGTTGTGTGAGGCTGGAGGGGCTGGAACCTGTAACCCAAATGAGGATGGCGCTACAGTGGAAAGTGCTGCTGCTAAGGCTGCTAATGAACCAGTGAACACAGAGGAACAAATTTTACTTCCAACTTCCCAACAATGTCCCGTGCTTACAAGATCTGGGGAATCACTGCCAATGAACTACTGTAGGTTTATTGTCCAAATGGAGCAACACAAAGACTTTTAAACATATTTTCTGAAAGGACAACTTCACAAAGGAGAGTGCAAGCTCAAGCCCAAATATTGGTGGTAAGTAATTATTTCATCCCTTAGTGATCAAATTGCAAATACGTTGCTAAAGAGAGTGAAGTTTACATCATTCATACAGGGGCAACTTTGTGCTCATTGTTTGTGAAAATAAATAATAGAAAAATAATAATAAGGGCAGTCAATTTTACAATTTTAACAAGAATCTATCCACACATTTGGCAATAATAATTGTAAAATGGTTTGGTTCTGGTTGATCAGGCTAAAGCAACAAACAATATCCACATTTTTAAATGCCACATAAACAAAATGTTTACATTAGTCACACAGAAACTAATATACTTCATGCAAACCTAGCTCAATAAACGTATTTAATGACCTGACAAAAGCTCTTAATATGGCTGAACACTTCCTGCTATAAGATGAATTGGTGTCGCAAGGGTCAACACTTGGTCCAATTTATTTTCCATTTTATCAGCAAAGTGTAGCACTGTATGCAACAGCAAATTTCCCTTGGGGACAATAAAGTGTATCATAAACTTATCTTAACTTTATGCTGATGACATAATCATTTATTGCTTCAAATCTAAAATCACTTACTTTCACTTTCAACTGTTACTGAACAGTGAGTCTGTGGACTCACCACCTGCAGGAGGTTCAGTGAGGGGCTGGTGCTGTATGAATTGGGTGCAGCTCTGACTGTGACTGCCACCCTCCCGACCCAGAAATGGATTAAGGAGAAGAAGATGGATGGATGGAAGGATGGATAATCTTGGTTTATGACTTGACTCTTTAACAATAATTTTCATCCATAATAAAAACAATCAATCGCATAAGTATTGCCTATAATTTATTTTGCAGTAAGTTGTTTTTTGTTTTTCAGTATCATAATTTCTTGCGCATTACAATATAAATAAAATACTGTGTGAGTGTGTGTGTGTATTGTTTGTACTTAAAGAATTTGAATATTATTTATGTGTCTTTTGGTACTTTTGAGAAAGTTTTATCTATTTGGATTGATCAATTATTTTTATTCTATTTATTTATTCTATTTTAAGTAAATAGTATTATCTAAACTACATAAATAATAAGATAATTTGCACTGAACAAACACCATTTTGTTCCAATAAAATAATTACACTTTGTAATAAAACAAACTGGTATAGATGATCAAGAATGTTTGGATTCTTGATTTTGATTTTGAATCTACTAAGTAAAGGAAATTGAATTTCAATCCAGTCAACTCTGAAAAACAGAGGCCATGCAGCACAGTCTGGTGTGCTCATTAAGGCCCCATGTTGAAGCATGTTGATCAGATAGGGCCACCCATGGAGGCTTCGACCTGGTGGCGTGACCATTCATCAGTTGTTTTTTAAGGGCTCTTGATGGGTGCAGGGCTTCGAAACAAGACAACATTGCAATGCTAATGGGGAATGTGAGATGCAGTATGAATTCAGGGTGAGTGTGCTTGGCGCATGCATGAGTACATCCATGCATGTATGTGTATGTATGTGTATGTATGTGTATGCATGTGCATGTCACAGATAATAATAGTGGCTGACTTGTCTCAACACAGAGAGAGCACTGAGGTCAAAAACATCCAACAGTAGCTTGTTGGACAATTAGCGCGTGTTGGGTGAATTGTGCGCTGTAATGGACATGGATGTGAAAGCAAAGATGATAAAAGCAATTTAGTTAACTGTCTTAACAACATGTCTGCAGGAGGGGTCCAGAAGACGAGCTAAGGAGACGCATTCATGACCCACTTTCATTGTCGTTTACTTTGTCCCACTAACCCACAAAAATATGTTTTTATCAATAATGTACATTTATTATTTTTAAGTGAGATTACCTAATCAATAAATAATGATGAGTTCATGTGATATGTCACAATTGTTAAATATTCATTTGCCCTTTATGTAACTCCTATCATTATATTAAGCTTTTTCTTTTACTATTGAAACATATCACACCTACATAATTTTTTGTCACCAATATCGGCCTTAATCAATTTATGCATACATATTATAAATGGGGCGACAGTAACTCAGTTGGTAGAGCATTGGCCTTAAGCCCAGAAGGTCGTGGGTTCAATTCCCACCTCTGCACCTTCTCCACCGACTCCCACTGATGACTGCTGTCGTTGTGTCCTTGGGCAAGACACTTAACCCCACTTTGACCAAAGCTCCCACTGAAAGATCAAGGCTATGCTCACACTCAGAGAGCAGCCGTCCTCCTGTGGACTCACCACCTGCAGAGGATCAGTTAGGGGCTGGTGCTGTGAGACTTGGGTGGCATCTCTGATTGCCACCCCCCTGACCCAGAAATGGATTAAAGGGTAGAAAATGGATGGATGGATGGATGGATATTATAAATGTATTTTATTCATTCGTCAGATAATTCATTTTTTCCCAGTTGTGCAGCGATGTCCGTAAAGTGTCAAGCTGTCATTGTGTCCTTGGGCAAGTCACTTCACAAGTATGAATTTATTTGGTGCTATGACCAATAAAAAAATCGTTGAAAACCCACCATCTAGATGTTTTGAACAAAAAAAAACAATCTGTTTTTAGAGTGCACCAACCTCTTCCTGTAGTTTACTGTGCAACACAACAGCTGTTCCAGTACTCATGTTGCAACAATCCTAAGTTCTTTGATTTATTTCTGTCAAAATAAAAATAAACACAATAGCACACTCACAGCTTTGATAAGATTACCTAAAATAAAAGCCAGAATCTTTTACCAGGAAGATTTGTTTTTTCTGCTAATAAATATTGTCTCTATACATGTATATCGGTTATCAGACTCCTTGATAATCAATTATCGGTACCGGCTCTGAAAAAAACTTTATCAGTCATCCTCTAATTCCGTCCCCTTTTTGCTATAATACCAGTCAAAAACACCATATTTTCAAATGTTATTGTCTCCAGCAGCGCAATTTCAAGTACATGTGTACAAAAAGTATACAGACCAGGTAATCTTGAAAGATCAAACAGGTAGAGGTGAAATGATTTGCAATAGGAAAAAAGGATATGAGGCACTTTGGTTTGAAGTAAAAGACTGCTATTGGACAGGACATGTCCAGATAAAGGGTGAAACGTGTTGTCACGCCTCTTCCATTAGGAGTTAGAGAGACTTTGGAAGGGATATGTGGTAGACGAATAAGCAGAGAAGCAAATCAAACTACTAATGACAAGGAAAGACCGTTATAACAAAATTAAATCTAATTCAATGTAATTATCTCCCCTTTCAGTGAATTGTGTGTGTTTAAATCAATCATGAATATATAGCTCCCAATCCAAGTATGAATTGTTGAATATCAATATTTTCATTTTCAGCATTACAGTGTAAGATATAATTGGAAACGTTCTCATCTTTCAAATGTTTGCTGAACTTAAGTGAACCTTGGGGCTCATCCTTGAACTTGTACCCTCCCCAGGTCCTCCGCAGAAGGTGAGGGTGGGGGCATGCCAACAAAATTTCATGCTGTACTGCCCTTTTGGAAACATGACCCCAAGCCTCTACTACATTATTTATGTCAAACCACTCAAAAACTGCATTTCATATTTAAGATTCAACACACATTTAACCTTGGTTTACCTAAGGTGTGGAAGGTGACGCTGTTGATTCATGCCTAAGTTGTGCTTGAATAAAAATGCCTTCCTGTCCAAATCACTATTCACAGCAAATAATGTTTTTTAAATTGTTGGTCAAAAAATCTACACACTACTGTCCTTTTAGAATTTAAGCATTAACAAAATGAAAAACATGGCGAATAAATCTTTTAGGGTTGTAAAGATGGATTAGAAATACATTTGCTGACTTGAGAGTTATTGAGTAAAGTAACACAAGAAGGTCGTAGGAGCAAAGATCTGTCCCAATATGCAGAATGCAGACTGGCTGTGTCTATTTTTGCCTAACAGTAATAGTTAGGGATACACACATATTCACCCACACACCCATGACACACTTTCAGTAACTTCCAACATGAAACAATAGCTGCATATTGTTGGGGTAGTATTGTCTTGTCATGTTTCCTTCTCTTAATTAAGCAAAGAACAAACAGAAGATATTCTAGCCATTATCAGACAGGGAATAGGATGGAAGTTGCTAAACAACATTTCCCAGAATGCCAACATAAAAGTATAATGAGACTGTGGGGAGCAGTTCTTTTAAAGTAGACAAAACAGGTCACGCTGACCTTGAGACGCTGAAATTCAGGACACAACACATTGAGCAACGGCTGTGTCACAAAAGTTGTTTCACTATGTCAATCATGGCACGGGCACAAATATTTCACATAACTAAAACTTTTATTTAGAACAACCGTGATGGGACTTAAACAACACATATTATAAATATAACCGTAGACACACAATACAGTAGCTACTGTATCCCCTCTATAAGGCTTTTTTTTATAAATAAACTGCCCTTTTGCCACCAACAGAATCTTACCATATTTGCATCAGAGTTCAAGTGCTCAGTAGAGTGACTAGGGATGCCAGGTGGGGCGGGGGCTCTCCTCTTCTTGGCGTCAGCTTTAGGAGAGGTCCTAGAGATGTTCATGGCTGAATGTGACTGGCTCATGGGAAGTCTCTCTTCAGAAAACTGTGACCCATACATAGATGACAAAGCCTAGAGGGAGAATGGAAAAATCACCAACAGGTAAAGATATCATATATATCTACAACGCATCGGTCTGTCTGTGGCTCGCATATCTCACTTTCGCAGGATGGCAAAAATGTCTTTAAGGTGCGAATGTGACCAACAAGCTGATTACCTCTAGTAACTATTACATAATACATAATAAGTGTCCTTCTAAAAAGTGTAGGAGGATCCAGACATTCCTAACCCCGGAGGATGATAGAAAAGCAATTAAAATCCAAGTAATTGATTAATTTGGACAATAGAACAATGCAGTATGAAGGCAGAGCAAAGATGAACACAGAGTTCAGACCATTGGAATTAATTGGAGCCAAGGTTAGAGCATCTCACAGTAGGTAAAGACTAGAAAATGGACAGAATTGAGAGAAGCTTATTACAGTGGACAGTTGTGGAATTTCTCACTAAGAACTGAGAAACAAATGATACTCGTTTCATTTCCTGACAGGGGAAATGTAATAGCATAGAATGAGTTGCACTTATAATAAATCACAAACCTTTAGGACAGCAGTTAATTCAAGACCACACATAAACATACAAATGAGCTATTAGAAATAAGAGGCTGGCCTTTTAGCGATTATGGGAGAGTAATCTGATCCCAGATGCTGACGTGCATGCGTTAGCTTGTGTTGTGGATACACCTCAAATAGCATCATTGTCACTGAGGCTTTATTTCAACAATAAAAATAAAATAAAAACATAAAAATAGTTTCAATGTGTGGGCTAATGTACTTACTATGCAAAATTATAATGATAATTACAAATATCTCTCCCAACCTCACTATCAGTCCACGGACTGAGTAAGATTACTACTGCAATGGCACATGATCAGTCTGTAAACTTGTCTCACAACGGTCTAACTGACTGAAGGGGACAGTGCGCTGAGCATATGCATTTAGTATCGATGTTGCCTAAAAAGATATAATCAGATATTTATTAAGGATAACATTTGACTAAATAGATGAATTTGTTCGGAACTGGAAGACAACATCATCTTTTTGCTTGTAAAAGAAAGACCTGAAGACCTAACAACTGCTGCCACCGTGAGGACAGCTAATGTTATTGCAAAATGAAATATGACGTTTAATAGTGTATCCATGTGGATTTGTTTGGCTTTCATTTGACTTGCTAATAGTCACATTGAAATACGTTTCTTCTCTGTTAAATATAACACTTACTTTGGAGTGTGTCTCTGTGTCATTGTAATCTTCCATATCAAGAGATGTTGTCTCTGTCTGCAAAAGCAAGGCACAACACGAGCAGCATTCAATTAGTAGACCATGCATTATTGCTCCACTGCAATGTACAGTAAATAGGTTAGTTCCGTAGTTGGAATAAAGTAATAACACTACAATATTCACACCATACCAAAAAAATTACCTTAGATTTCCTCCTGCCAAATTGAAACATTCCCAGAAGACCTTTCTTCTCTGCTCTGGCCAAACTGTTAGTACTATAGCGCAGGCAGTCTGTATTGAGATATAACAGTGAATAATGTGAAGAGAATTATGAACATACTTGCATAACTGGATTATTGTGCATTATTGTGGATGGTTTTCTTACAGATATAACAAATTCTACTGATACTGTATTTCTGTTAGGGGTGGGAACCTAAGGGTACCTCACGATACGATACGATACACGATACAAAGCTCACGATAACGATAATATCACGATAACGATAATATCACGATAACGATAATATCACGATAACGATTTTATCACGATATGACGATTATTGATATATTGGTTAGAAATATACAATATGCCAATTTATGGCATAAATAAAAGAAAAAATACTCTTTATTTCATGATAAATAGAATGGAGATGCGTAATGTAGCCATATATTAAGTATTGATACCAATTTAAAAAAAAAAAAAAAAAATCTAATTTTTTTTGTTTTTTTTTTCAAAATTGATATTGATACTTGGTAAATGCATATCGATAATCGAATCGCGGGAGAAAGTATCGTCACACCCCTAATTTCTGTTATACTGCATGTAACCAGGAGAGGGTGCTACTGCATGTAGGTTAGGGCAGTGTTCCCCAACCTTTTTGAGTTGTGTGGCACACCTTTTCATTGAAACCAATCACATGTCAAACTACCAGCTGAAAGCAATACAAACATCTGCAAACCCATGAAAAGTTATTCCTCATCAAAGTGTATTATACAGAAAATCAAACAGCAGGTTAGTGTTTCTAAACATCTCACAATATTATCTTTTCACATTATTTGTACCAATCAGGTGATATTGGATCAAATTCTAACAAATTCTAAGGCACTCCAAACCAGATTACAAGGCAAATTAACGTGCCACGGCACGCTGGTTGAAAAACACTGGGTTAGGGCTCCACCACACACAATAGAACAGCAAAAAAAAAATTATATAAATGCACAATGTTAGTAAAGTAGATTAACGGTAAAATAATTAAGTCAATTAGTAAAAAGGACAACTTTTCAACTGTATACCTGTTAAGTTAAGTGCAGGTGCTGAAGCCATTTTAGGCTGGAGGACTGAAAAATAATTGAAACAAAATATACACTACTATAACAGATATTAAAGAACATTTTTCATGTATGTGTTTTTTCTTAAATATTATTATTATTATTGCCTATAGGCTATTTGCATTTTAATGGAAATGGCTAAATCACAGTAATATAGCCAACAGCAGACGTAAGTTACCTAGGCTTTTGTCGTGCACATAAAGCTCCTTGATTCCCAGAGTGGACAAAGTCTCGTCCAGTGGTAACTTTTGGCGACTGATGCTATCCTTTAGCAGCACGACAAGCGCAGGGTCAAATTCACACTTGTCACAGACGATGGGGACGAGCTCCTGTAGCGGCAGCAGTGGGTTCACCCGCACAACGGCCTTCTGACTGCCATGATAATTCACCAGCAAACGCACTGTTTTCTGAAAGGACAAGGCGTCAAAATGCTTAAAACATTTTTTTTACTTATCTCCCACTAAAAAGCTGATTTCAGCCAATCCTCAAGAATTTGTATCAAAGAATTGTCCATTGACTGACAGCCCCATCTGAAACTGTGTCGGACTCTGGCCTTGGGCCAGACAGGGTTAAAGGGACAGAGCAGCAAGTGAGCCCTGAGAAGAGCAGAGAAATAATGCATGGTAACTAAAGGTAAGCCCCTCATAAAATATTTAAAGTGCAGGAAGAGAATGAAAAAGAATTCAAAATGAAATGAATGAGATAAATGTAGTAGAATACAGTGTAGATTTGAGACAGGAAAAGACCAAATAAGACACATGTGGAGCCAAGTGGCCTCCTACCTTAGTCTGAGCTCTGAGGGGCTTTAGGTGTGCTTCCTGCCAGTGTTGAATGGCAAGCGATAGAGAGGGATCGATATTACATAAAGCTAATGTGTAAACCATCACACTGCAAATCAAGCTAGTATCAAGTATTTCTTTCTTTATGCTAAAATATCACTAATGTTTTTATTCCACACAAAACATATCAGTGTGAATGAAAACAAGCATGCATATAGAATAAATGTCCAGAGCCACTGACCATATGTGGTCATAAACTCACTTCAGGTACTTTGGGTGCAGACCGGCGTACTTGTCTCTCCTCCAGCACTTTCTCTTTGATGAGGACACAGGCAACATTGAGAGACCCCAGCAGCACGTTGGGCTTGAAGCCCAAAGACTGGCCTTCAGGTGTGAACAGCTCCAGTGTGTGTAGAGAGGGGTTCAGGTGGTAACAGCTGCACAGCTCCACCAGAACGTCCATCAGCGCTTTGCTGAAAGAGGGACATAAAGTGACTGAGCGAGAGAAAGTGAAGGAGGGAGAGACACGGTGAGAGAGGGAGGAGATGGGATGAACAAACCACTCATGTGAACAGCTACAGAAACAGAGACACTAGATTAAATTACAATACCTAGCTTGAGCTCGAGTAAAGGAAGTGTCTTTGTACAGCGTACTCACACTACGTCAACTTTCCTGTAATGCCCAAGAATTGCAACTATTATTTGTAAAATATGTCAATATGCATTTATCTTGTTGTGGGTACTTCTTGAACTGTGCATTGTAACATCAACATTTCCCCAGTGTGAAACCTAATTAGAATTTAGACATCTCTAATGTATATAGAGAAGGGGCCTCTGCATGGAGTCCTGTGGCACTACCTGTCAGAGCAAAGAAACCAGGGGACTGTCTCCAGTGTTTTCTGGGAAGTTGCAGATCAAATGTCAGAAAAGGTCCTACTACAAAGGCCACTATCCAAGACACGGCAGTAGACAATACATGCTACCTACAGAAGAACAGTATTGTGCAGTGCATGTGACGTAACAATATTACTATTTAATGTAACTATTTTTAATATGTTTTACTATTCACTTACAATTATAATTTAATTTCCTAGTTGCCCAGCAGATGGGTCTGTTGAGGGCAGCAGCGGAATGAGGGGAGCTGATTATTAACCAACTCTCAATAAACTAGTTTTTATGGATGGAAAAGTTGCACAACTTGCGGAACCCAAGAAAGCACATTTTTACATTGTCGATTTATTAAACCTGCTTCATCTAATTAATTTCACGACTCTGCCCCACTCCCTAAGCAACACCAACAGACGCACAAGCTTTGTGCCACACAGTACTGGCATGTGTGCACGGAACTTGGTGACAACATTTATTGTTAAAGGTTCATTCCTTGAAATAGGTCCTTTTTTCTCCAAATAGAAAATAATATTGTGATTAGGGCTGTCAAACGATTAATTTTTTAAATCGAGTTAATTACAGCTTAAAAATTAATTAATCGCAATTAATCACATTTCAAACTATTGGCAGAATTATGCCATATTTTTCTGTAAATTGTTGTTTGAATGGAAAGATAAATGACAGCTTAGTGAACATATGTACTGTATTTGTTTGTTATAACAATAAATCCATATAAAATGGAATTAACATTCTGTCTTTCTGTTTAGACTCAGACCAAAACCATTGTTTGTTACAGATGAGGGACATTTCAAAATAGTCTGAAATGCAGAATGTCATTAAATCTGTTTGATTTGCTCACAACATTACTTTTTTTGGCACAACTAACATGAACGGATGGTCGAAAGAAAAATTAGGTACCTCAGCTTTAATTTAGCGAGTGCGCTTCGGGAGAAGACACGGCTCCGCAGTCCAGCTTCAGCGCTGTACATATTGTGTGCATCGGTAACGCAAAGACACGTACGCTGTCCAGAGCGCTGTTGCGCCCGCAGCTCCTCATGCAGAATTCTGAGTGTTATTATGGGACGCATGGGCATGCGTCAAATGCGTTAATTTTTTTTACGCGATTAATGAAAATAATTAATTAACGTGCGTTAACGTGATAATTTTGACAGCCCTAATTGTGATTAAATAAATGTCTGTAATGTCACCAAATTGCAACTCCCAATAAGCCATTAGAATGAAAGTAACCACAGAAAAAATAACCACTTCTTCAGATAAGGATTCTTGTTGAATACTGCATGATTTTTTCTCCCTGTTTTTCTACAGTCATTACTTTGGTCAGAGGTCTCCCCTGCCCTCACCTTCCATCCTCAGTGACAGTGGTCTGATGTCCTGTGGGCAGTGTCAGGCGTAGCTCCACAGTTCTACTCAGCATGTTCTCCTTCATCTCTCTGTCACCGGCCCCATCCTGGGAATCAGCAACACGGAGCAGACGCCGCGGGGCAGGCTGCGGAGCCTGAGGAGCCTGAGGAGCCTGGGGAGGAGGGGGGGCGCGTGGCTTCATCCTTCTCCTGGACACACAGACAGCAAGAAAAGGGATTCTTTTGAGTTTACATTTGATCAGAAACCAGATACTAGAGGAAATTAAAAGAGTTCTGGTGGTTGAGAATTTTTTTCTGTTCTATCTCTAAAAACAGCTCTACACTGCACGGACTCAGTCTCTGGCTTTGAAGGTTCTTTTGGATGCGGTCAGTCCGTCAGACCGACCACGTCCCCCGCCATGTTGTGGTCTCTGGAGAAGTGAATCCCAAGTGTGAGCCAAGGTGATATCCAAAAGATGGATACAAGAGGCGATTGAAATCAGGAAGCGGGGCGCACAGACCATCAACAGAGACGAGGGGGCTTTCACCTTGGCTCACACTTGGGATTCACTTCTCCAGAGACCACAACGTGGCGAGGGACGTGGTCAGTCTGACGGATCTGTGAGATCTGTCAGACTGACCGCATCCAGCAAAAACAGCTGATAAGAGACGCATCACACCATCACGTGTCACCTCTGATGAAGGCGGGAGTGTACCGCCGAAACATGTCAGGTAATTAAGCAGTACTAGCTTTTTTTGCTTTTTTGTCTTATTAGAAGAACCTTTAAAGCCTCAAACATAAGAACTTATGTTCTTATGTTTGAACAAATTGAACTTTCTACATTTAGGACTCAGTCTCTGTCCAATAGCCTGAGTCCTGGAACTACAGTCTGTCTGTCAATGCTACCCTGAGGTTTGTTGTTCCTTTCCAACGGATCTAAGGACAGTGATGATCAGGAATATTTAAGGACGTTTATGGACATTTATTAGTATTTATGGACATTGCTTGGTCACCTGCCCCCTATGGATCAATGACTCGGACTGTTTGTTTCTCTGATCTGTTGTTGAGGAATCAACAACATTTTAAAGTCCTCAGAGACAGCAGCTGTTAGGGCTATACAAAAACAATAACAGTGTAATAACAAAGATAATGTGAGATTCTGTCTAATTTCTAGGTAACCAATACAGAATAATTTAAGCAGTTTCAGCTGGGGTCTTTAAACTAAAATCTATTCACATAATACATCCTATAATTTAGTCCTGTTGAATGGGTACTAGCCAGAACCGGGGAACAAAGAACATTGACAAATTTTTCAAAACATTTTGCACATGTTTTGGTGTATTTTAGACAGCATTCTCTAAATGTAAAATCCAGTGATCGCAATGTGGAAGGTGGTGACCCTAGGAGGTCTTGAAAATCCTGACTAGTACTTTAATTTAACAAATTATTAAACAAAAACACATTAGGACAAACAAAACAATAAACTGGAATAAACTGCTAAAATGATATATTACTCCCAGTCTCTCCTTATACCCTTTCTCTCAAACTTGTGAAATACAAATAATAGCCTCTGTTAATAAAAGTAAAATATCCTACTCACAGTTTGTGTGAAAAGTCTTCCTGACACACTCACATCATTCACAAGTCGCTTGAGATGATTGAACACAAGCCATAGGCTTCAGTTTAGTTTAAAATCCACAATCGTTTTCCTTGCAGGTAACGCAGAAAAAATCAATACGTAGTTGGGAAAATGCACTAGAACGCCGCTAAACAGGTGGACTCTAGCCCTATCTCCAGTTAAATATTAACAAATTATAGAGTCATTGACATATTATGCAATTCATTTCACAGGCAATGACCACAACCTGAAGCAAGAGCAAAAAATGCTTTAGTGATTAGAATGACAGCAGATAAGTGTGGGATTGAATGAGTAAGCAGATGACTCTTTTCACTGGCCTTCTGCAGCTACATATATCTCAACTAAAAAGATTGTTCTGTACCTGATGACTTAAAAACAGTTCAGGCAAGCAATAGGGAATCAATTCATTGTGTTGAAGAGTGCTTTGAGAATTCTGGATAAGAGCTATTAAAAATAGCAGGTGCATGACATTAGGGACTATGGGGATCTAAGTGTCAGGGGCACACAGGGTAGGACTATGTGGAGCAGTGGGCTGGGACGAAGGCCAGGTTGAACACAGTCAGCTACTATCCTCCTCTTCCTCTCCCTCACTTTCCAGTGTCCCTCATTCTTCTCTCCTCACAGCACAAAGAAGCCTTTAGGAAAAATCCAGGCTCCCACAGAGTCCAAATGAAGGGAGCCAAAACACAGTGCCCCGAGCGGACACAGGGGGGCAGTAATAGCGGGATAGCGAGCCAGACCGGGTTACACACCACAAGGAGGTTACTAATGGAGCTACCAGAGACAGACAATTCTTTCACTGCCCTACACTGCTCTAACAAGACCAGGAGCCTTTCCCTGAACTTGATATTAAAGATTACAGTGTTTCATCAAAGTGGTTTGGGAGGACTGTTTTCAAAGAACTCAAAAGGCGAGTTATTTTAGTCTTTTGACTCAGTGTCAGGAGATTGTGTCTCGTGGTGTGGTAATCATCATAAGACCAGCCATTTCACTAGCATTTCAAGAAGTCAAAATGCACAGGTCAAAATGCTAATGTTATATGATGTTTCTGTTTTCTACTCCATTATCAATTTAATTATTTAATGCTTTTCTGCTGCATTAGCTATCAATAAGATGAAGGAAGTTGTTAACTCAGAGGATGAGGGTTGTATAAGATGAGATAAGATGACCTTTATTCGTCCCTCAGTGGGAAATTTCAGTGACATTGTTGCTCACATTACAGTAGACTAGAAGGAAAAATAAGAGCACTCAGGTTATCCACACATACTGTATATACTCGATACTGCCTGTCATAAGTTATATCCATTCTGGTCCAAAAAATAAATTAAAATATAAAAAGGGTGACTGTAACTATTATGCAGCTCATACAATTCAAATCATGACTAAAGTATAAACCTATTATATTGGTAATGTTTTCAGACTTAAAGGAAAACAAAAATGATATATTTGTCTCATTGGTTTTGTTTTCAGCAATAATCTAAATCTCAAATATAAATTGGATTGACAAGAGCATCTGTCAGCCCTCACTGAAACACAAAGAGAATAATGAGCGACAATAATAACCGTTAGGAATGTTGTTAGTCTTTGCATTACCACCTGTTCCACATAAAATTACACTCAATACAAATATAAACGCAGCGCTTTGGTTTTGTCGTCGACTGCACATGATATATTTTGAAACTAGCCATTTTTTAATCTAGTATACTTGACAACAAACGGCTGCACACAACCAGTAACAATTAATGGAAAAAAAGTGGCCAAAACAATGACATCAATGTTTAAAGGACAACTCTAATGTATAATTAAGAATATGAAATCCTCAATTTGTCACACAGTGGGGAAATTACAGTGTTGCATCATTAGTTACAGAACGGTAGGAATGGGGAGCCCCCGGTGAAAGATAAGTGAACAATGACTATTAAAATTCAAATTCAATTCATTTACAGACAGAGCACCAGTGGGGGTATGAAAAAAACACAGAAACACAAGATATAAAATACAATAAAAGTGCAGAAAAAATATAGGCAAGGCAAGGTAAGTTTATTTATATAGCACAATTCATACACAAGGCAACTCAAAGTGCTGAACAAAAATAAGAAAGCATTAAAATCATAAATAATCACAGTGCATTAAAAAGAAAGATACAAATATAAAATATAAAATCCCTCAGTTGTATGCACAGCTAAAGAGAACTGTCTTTAACCTGGTTGTAAACATTGTCAGAGAGGAGGCCTGTCTCACATATTCAGGAAGACTGTTCCAGATTTTAGCAGCATGAATCTGAAAAGCAGCCTCCCCATGTTTAGTTCTGACTCTGGACACTAACAGGAGTCCAGTCCCTGTGCTCCTCAGAGTCCGGGCTGGTTCATATGGTACTAACATGTCACTAATATATTTTGGTGCGAGGCCATGGAGAGACTTGTACACAAGCAGAGCTGTTTTAAAGTCTATTCTCTGAGCCACAGGAAGCCAGTGCAGAGACCTGAGAACTGGACTAATGTGGTCGTACTTCCTGGTTCTAGTCAGGACTCGAGCTGCTGCATTTTGAATGTACTGCAGCTGTTTTACAGCCTGTTTGGACAGACCTGTGAGCAGGCCATTGCAGTAGTCTAACCTACTGGAGACAAATGCATGGATAAGAATCTCCAAGTCTGCTTTAGACACTATGTTTTTGATCCTGGCAATGTTTTTTAGATGGTAAAAAGCTGCTGATGTTACTGATTTGATGTGGCTATTAAAATTCCAGTCTGAGTCCAGTATTACCCCTAGATTACTGACCTTGTTTGAAGGTTTAAGGGAGCGAAACTGTAGATGACAGATGACGCTCTCTCTTTGATTCTGGGGACCAAAGACAATCATTTCAGTTTTGTCTGCGTTCAGCTGAAGGAAGTTATACACTAGAATAAATAATAATATAATTAAATGAAGAGACGGTGATGTAGGTTATGTGTTTTCCAGAGAGGTGGAGCGGAGAGCCACTCAAAAGCTTGGTCATATAGGCGTAAGTACACTGGAGCGGTTGACACACTTGACTTCAGACCTTATGCTCATTGAACCTGGTGTGAGTGACGACTAGATCCGGGACCCTGAGCCACTCCCGGTGACACACGCATTATTGTGAGCACGGCTGTCATGGCGTCTCCTTGGAAACCTATATTTACTCCACTTCAAACCGGAGCACCACGCAGGCTTGGTTTGGTAGCAGCTGTAGACAGTAGACGCTCATGCCAACTGGCAGCGTGCGCCACAAAAACTAGGCAAATAAAGTAAGGAAACATACTATCTTACGTTTTCCACTTGATCAGCTTTAATGTCTCAAAGTATTTGATTGTGGTTTTTGAAAGCTTGTGGTTTCTTTTTTTTTAATGTAGAATGTGGAAAAACTGTGAACCAAATTAGACAGATGATGAATTCTGTATATGCCATAAATGATAGTATTGAAACAACTTAACACCACTGATGAGGGTACAATACAGCAGGATAGTTACAAATGTCCAATGTGTACAATAAAAAACATGCATGATGAAAATAATCAGCAGAATATCTAGTTCAAATTTAACCCTCTACAGCTTAAGTGTCACAATTTTCATAATAATACAAAATTCTATCTACTTTGACAGAGAAAATGTACAGCTGATAAATATTGAGGCCCAAATTATATTATTTTATCCATCAGTTATTGAATTATAAGTTAAAATAGACAGTCCCATTCAAAATAAATTTCCTTCATAAAAAATCACTCATGTTTGAGGGATTATCCTTTCAACGTAACAATTAGGCTTTCCAGTGGTAATAATGAGAACAGATAATGATGAATAGATACATCTAAAAGATCTTGCACCGTCTTTTTCACAAAGTGTTGTGAGAATAAATAATACCCCCAGGGAAATAAAGAGCACATGGTCCTCAGCTGCTAAATGAAAAGTTACACACCGGGATTAATTAGTGTTGCTTACAGACGCAGAGTGTTTTTATAAACTTAAGGACAAAAGAGGAATAAAAAGTGTCTCTGTGTCTTGTCTTTGCTGAAAAAAATGCTCTCTGTGTGTGAGTGTGCGACAGATAATGTCAATCAAGTTCATTCATAAAGTGGATAGATCAAAATGGCATTTTTCATGGACGCAATTCAAAAATCGAAACTGCAATTTAACTGCTATTTAAGATAGTTATAAAGAAAAGAAAAAACAATCACCTGAGGTTGATGGGAATTATTATCATTTTATTTATATAATTATCATCTTGAGAATTTAATGAGTCTAACTAAAATTCAATCATTTCTATCTATACAGAGATATAGATAATATTTATATTTTTTGCAGTGAATCTTTTCTGGATAAACAGAAAAGTTAGAAATGTATAGACATTTTCTGATATGTGTGGCAGTTGTGACAATCGCTTCATATGTACACGTCCTCTAGTGAAGTTGTTATTTTTACTCTTAAACAACATTTTACACATACAGTATATCAATACAGAAATAAAATATTTTGACAAAATTGTGCAGACTTAAAAGCCAGTATAAATAATAATACTAATAATGCATTGGTTTCATTTAGCCTATTTCTAGACTCAAAAACAGTTTGTAAACATTACACAATCTCTAATAAACTCAAGAACTTGATCAAAGGTTTAAAGTAACGCATGTTTATTATGTTCTTGTTATGGTGCACTTTGCTCCTGTAACTTTAACTTGTCTATGTAGCTAAGCAATGCATCCACACCCCACTCTAAAACGGGAGGGCCTGCGAATATAGATCTTACTAGATACTGTAGATACGACTGAGCACTGCCAACAACACATGGCCTCAAATCCTCTCCCTCTATCCAGCTCATATTTCATCCAAATTTAAACCTGTCATCAAAACAACTTCACCCTAAATATCCAGATGTGAGCACTGCCACATACAATAAAAGGTTTTTCTTCTTGCTAAAAAAAATGAGACTTTCCCTTAGTCATCAAGGCCACACTTGGAGAGAAAAAAAAAACATTGAAATTTAAATAGCAGAGTGTGTTGCGGCCCATGGGTGGTGTCTTCCATAAAGCATATAATAATCAGTGATCCTTAGAGAAAGGGCAAACAATAGAATGGCATTTCACTGTCTGTCAGGCTGTATTTTGGAAACGGGATGCATCGGATGTTTAACCAACGGTCTACTCAACCTCCTGTATACAAATCTCCAGAGAACAGAGGAGGGAGGGCAACCGGGCAGACAGAACATTTAGCAGTGTGTAATTACCAATGGGTGTGTGCTAGATAAACAGGCAGTGATTTAAAAATTCATTCTCCAAATTGTGCCAGTTAACACTGACAAAGTAACAACAATATGTCAGTGTTGGGGGGGGCAAGCATGTTTCTGTGGATCATTAGCAGTCTGTAAAGTACTGACGTCACAGGAAAACACAGCAGGTCTATTAAAGTTATCTGAAACTTTGAAGATTGAATATAAAGTTTTCCACATTAGAAGTAGAAGCACCCTTATTTGTTTAGTCACTCTTCTACTTAAGAACAAAGGGACCACTTCACTTCAAAATCTTAGACTACAGCACTGTAACTTAATGTTTCAGTCAGCAAAACCTATAAACAATACTGAGATCTAATGTCTAAAAGTGGAGATTGAAATTATAAACAGTAAAAATGTTAGCAACCTCCAACAGAGTCGAATAAATCTAATTAGAAAACACATACTCTTTAACACACTTGTAATAAAGGTCCTTTGGAGTCAATATTTAACATTTTGAGCTGATTGGCTCTCTTTTTCACGTTTCTGTCTGAAAAAGCTGATCTAAAGGTGAGGTGAAAACTAGTCAGAGAACCAAACTGCTGGATCGTTTGTCTTCAACCTGTAGCTAAGGAGCTCTGCCAAATAGCTCCCCAAACAATTTAGAAATTAAATACGTTTCCCAAAATGTGTGATCCAAATGCCCAAGCCTAAAGGCACACTTTGTAACAAATGCTAGTGACTGTGGTAGTAACAGTAGTGCCCCTGGCTCTCACCATTAAATCCACTCATTTCCCCCAGATGATTAAAACTGTAGCTCTGTAGAATTTTTGTCTTGAGAAAGTACACCAACTGAAAAAGGTTGGACACCCCTGCTTTAGAAGATCTGAGGTCTATATTCATGTTTTAATATAGATTTTAAATAAAATCTATATTAATGTTATGATATAGATTTTAAATTAAATCTATACTAAAACAAAAGATGTTCTTTGGCAATTGTATTTAAGCATTTGTATTTTAAGTTAAACTACCTTTTTATTACTAAGATGTAAACAAAAAAAAGAAAAAAACTGAAATAAAAAAATAAAAAACGTGTACATAGTTTAAAGCCACCAGGTAAAAGGTGAGATTTGACGTTAGAAGTTGATGTCTCAAAATGAGTCCATGGTACTTCTATGACAGGATTGTCACCCACTGACCGGAAAAAGCACTTCTGGCTGTACTGCAAACAGACACTTCGACAACTCCACTTTGTAATTTGGCCAAGAAGCTCTTAAGCGACTGAAATGACCGTATTTAGGGCGATCTGGTGAACATGACCTTTAGCAGAGAGAGCTTTAATTCACTCCAACACCAACAACCAGATAAGTCTTATTTCCCACTTTGTACTTTAGTACTCATTCAAGATACACCTTATATTTAACCTTCAAAACAACATTCTGGTCAGATAACATAAAATCAGCATATCAAGCACGAGGAATGATTGACAGTTTGGCAAAAAGAAATGTCCCGTACATTACAACCTTTTCTATTACAGTGACAATGCGGGACACAGTGGTAGCTTTCATTGGTTAGAATGTTCCATAATACGGCATTTAACTTAAACTGAGTGCAGACTAGCCAGACACATTCCAGTTCAGATTTAGATAAGGCCACGTTTTTCAAGGTGTTTTTACCACTAAAACATTTTCAACAAACAATACAAATATTTCATGTCCACTGCACGCACTTAGATTAAAAGCCAGGCAGTGCATGGCAAACACAAAATGTATTCCCACGTACAAAAATGTACGCAGAAGTATAGCTCTGAAACTCTGTTTGTTAAGTGGCTAATTTGTTCAACTTTACTGAGTTAATAGTAACAGGATAGGCTGAGACTGTATTGGACTAGTTGATAAAATACAAGATGAAATGATTGTTGTTGTTTTGTTTTAGAATAGATGAAAAACAGTGTGTCAAAAACCATGAAATCAAATTGCAGACCTACTCATATCTAGTATGTGCTATGTCATTATTGTGTGGGGGACACAGGTTGTGGCTGGAACTCTCTGTGTTGGCTTAGGACAATAGGATTTTACTGTATTGTGAAATCCTACTCAGTACAGTAATTCACGAGTGGAGCTGCTTTACAGTACCTAAAGGGAACAAACTCCAGCCTCAATGTATTAATGTAATATTTAAGCTATCTTCTTCCCACTCCCTTTCAGGCAAACTAGCTTTTTGATTTTGTTATAGATATGTTTTTATGATAATAGCAACTGTGATGCTTCTGTGTTTGCCTGAAATGAATACATGAATACATAATAATACTAATACATATAACTGTATGGAAACATGGCACGCTTACACAATCTCTGCACACCTCTCCCTCTCATTCAATCAGATGGGGCTTGATTGGTGATAAAACTCTCAATAATAGCTCATTATGAAAACAAAATAAACGCAGTGTAAAAACTAGTGCCAGATGGAAAGTGGGCTCACCCTAAAGGAGGTTTGGAGGCGTCCATCCTCACTGGAGCGAAGTGGTGGTGGTTGTTTATCAGTCAAACATCTACCTCTTCATCCCACCTGAGACAAAAAAGTAAACATATACAATAAAAACAATACTTCTTCTTATCTCCGTGCAGCCGTGTGTGTTATAACGGTCGTGTGTGTTATAACGGTGTCTGCCCTATAACGGTGCGTAATAGCATTGTCATAAATAGCCGTCAGCAACAAGTGAGTGTGCGCAAAATCTGTCACTCGACTTTGACCTGACGCAAAAAAAAAAAAAAAAAAAATCCACAAAAACTCTCCACAACGTGAAAAAAAACAGCTACGTGACACTCACCGTCTTCAAAGGGGTCTTCACGAACACGTGTTAAAGGCTGTCGGAGTCATTTGTCAAATCCACTTGAAATAATCTTTGCGTTCCTCCCCGACCCCGGGCTGGCTATAACCCGCTTTGAGCGTAAGGAAACGTGGGATGCAAGTTCCGCTGTGGATTTTCAAAATAAATGTGTTTTTGCGTCACGCTTAATATTTACAGTCTATCATGCATGGTCTTGCTGGAAACCCCATAGTCTGATTAAGATCAAGATTAAGAGATCATTTATTTTGCCCACAGCGGAGACATTTCAGTGTTGCATCACCGGTTACAGAACAGTCGGAATGAGGAGCACACAATGCAAGATAAATGAGCAATAACTAGAGTCTATACTAAAATAAAATCTCTAACTTTAGCATAAAAAGTCGCAAGTATGTAATGACTAAAAACATAACAAATGAAGCCCAATAGGGAAGTGCTCGTGGACAAAGTTTTGCTTCAACTCGATCGGTTGCTTGTTCTATTGACTGAAATTGTAAAGTAAACTCCTCTAGCTCAGTAATTGTTTGTGTCACACTCACCATTTTTGGTTTTAGGGCTCTCTGTGATCCAAATATTTTGATACTGTCTCTGCAAATCCAGATATGAGCCTGATAAAGTTTGACCAATCAGACGCCTTGATCTGCAAAAGAAACTCCAGCTTGTCTAACATCGAGCAAAACACCATCAGAACAAAGCTTAAAGCTTCATATCGGCTTCTTTGGCAAACATTATGGTATGATAGCAATGTTTTTTTTATTTTATTTTTATTTTTACAGGAACACTGTACAACACACATTAGCCAAAAGGAGAGATGCATTGTACCAGGTTGTACAAGGAGAGCTCGGGCTCACTCCTGTGCTTTTAAACAGCCAATGTCCTGTTGTAATGGTTTCGACTCAGCAAGGGACCAGGGGAGTCAAATAAGATAAAAGAGACATTTACATCTTAAATCCTGATAGCATCCAAACACACACACACACACACACACACACACACACACACACACACACACACACACACACATACAGTTAATTGTTAATTGGACCATCTCAAAGCACTGATAACAGGAAAATTAAGTCAGTGACACATGTGTTTTTACTGTTTAAATGTGTAATGACATATTGTTGTTTCCCACAAATCGATCTTTCAGGTCTCCTGTTACTACAAGTATTGTGAGAAAAACAAAAAGATTCTTGAATAGTTTGCTTATTCGCAGTCAATGTGGTAACAATCTTGAAAGACAACAAAACCAATTCAATTGTGAGCAGAGATAGTTATATATTTATTCTAAGTTTTAGTTTCAAATACGCTATATCAATACTTACAACCTCTCAATCATTATTATGAGCAAATAACCAAACTTAACAAGTCTTGATAACAAAAGTCAGAAACAGTCATTGAGTCCAACAGAAATGAGGTTTATAGAAGTTCAGGTTTAAGTATTAATCAAAGGTAATATGACTACAACATCTCAGAGAAACAATGATTTTGGAAATATTGTCTTATTTGGAAGCCTATAAAAGTACACAAAAGTAAACATTTAATTAAAAAAGAAATATATATATATATATATATATATATATATATTATATATATATATATATATATATATATATATATATATATATATTATATATATATATATATTAAATGATCACTACTTGATAATCAAATTGAATAGATTTAAAACAAAACAAAAAAACAACATTCCCAATATGCCTGCTTATGCCTATATTGTATCAGCAAACTCATGTTATCTTTAATTTTACTATATTGGCAATCGGTTGTAACTGATCTATATATTATTAACTTTTTAAAGTATATTTTGTATTAAATGTATCCATACACAGGATATATGCATTTAAATCAATACATGATGTAATGGGAACGATGTCATTGTCAGAACCTTATCTCTATGGAAACAGTCCATAGAATGCTGTGAGGTTCTATTCTACATCTTTGAAAACCCTTCACTTTGACACAGCCCTTGACACAGTCGAGTTTTATGCATCTCTGTCACGGAAGACTTAACAGAAAACCAAAGATCCAAGATGTCAAACTTGTTAGTGCTGATGGACGAGCTGCGTCGCGAGCAGTCTCTCTGTGACGCTGTGATCCGGGTCCAGGACTCGCAGTTTCATGTGCACAAGCCGGTCATGTGCAGCATCAGCCCGTTCTTCAAGTGAGTGCCAATGTGGTTGAACTTCTTGTTTGATTTAGATTAGTAATGAAAAATGCCAAAAGCCGTGTATATTTGAAGTATTGTGTGTAAAAACAGATATCTCCGTTTAACAAGTGCCAAAAATGTGTGTTTCTCTTGCTGCAAATCTTCAACTTGTTTTGTTTTTGGCAGTACTTTTGAAAGAATTTGCTCACGAAGGGGTGAAACTTTGTTTGTATGATATTAAAATATACCTGGCTTCTCAAAAAACTTTGTGATGACAGGGAATAGTAGTAAGTCAATAAAAAAGGAGTCTTCTTTATATCATTTAGCAACCACAGCTTTTCTTACTGTTATTTATTATTATATCTTGGTAGAATTGAACGATACATTTATTAGAAATGGATTGTGGTCTTGACCTTAAAGGGGAATTATGCAACTTGATGTATGTAACATGAGAATTTGTTTATATTAATAATGATTATAATAATGCATCGAACTTATATAGCGACACTCAAAGACGCTGTACAAAACATAAAATAAACATAGAAGAGCAAAAATTAAGGAAATGCAAGCTGAAACAGGTGGGTTTTGAGAAATGATTTTGGGAATATTTTTTTGGGTATATGACCTTGTAATGACGCAGTGGCTGTATGAGTAGTAAACATGGCACTTTTACTTACTATCACAGTGGTCTCTAGGATGCCATAGGATTATTTTTTCTCTGCTGACAAACCCTGCACCAGAAAACCGACAAAACAATGATCCTGGAGCATTGTATTCAAAAGTTGCCCACTCAAGCTGCCCACTCTTACTGCCACTGGGTCACTACAAGGACATATACCAAAAGATTGTAACTTTTTCACACACAAAAGTTGAATAATGCACCTTTACTTTATCACTAAATATTGAGTCAAATTGGAATCTATTTTTACATTTGCTGGTACACTTCTTTTGTATCTATCGAAGGGAGGTAATTAATCTGTACTAATTCAATCTCTTCAAAGTACTTGTTTGAAATATAGATTCTTAAAGCAGACACAATGAGTCTTTAAGGCAAATGGCCCCTTAAAATGTACAGTGTGTGACTTTGAGCCTTTGTAAAAACCCTACATTTGACTAATGTATTTTTGGGTCACATTTCTCATCTGTCCATCCTCAGATCTTTATTCACCACCTGGTCCACTCCAGACAACAACATTTTTGATATCCCAGATGTCTCAGCGGATTCAATGCAAGCGTTCATTGAGTTTGCCTATACGGGGGCCGTCTCCATCACCAAAGAGAACATCACGGACTTGTTCATTGCTGCTGATCGCTTCAGTGTGGAGGGTCTGGCCCAGGCTTGCTGCGATGAAATGGAGAGGTCCCTAAGTCCCCAAACCTGCGTCTACACCTGGAGGATAACTGAAAAGTACTACTATCCTGCATTGAGACAAAAAGCGTTCTCCTACATCCTGAGACATTTCGAAGAGGTGGTGGCTTGTACCAGCTTTCTCCAGCTCTCGGCAGCAGAACTGAAGATGATCATCGAGAGTGAATTCCTGAACGTGAAACAGGAGAGCACAGCGTTTGAAGCCGTCCTGTGCTGGATCAACCACTCACCGCAGGATAGACAGGTGCACATCCGAGACCTCCTGTCGAAAGTAAGTCACCTTTTTGTATGCATCTTTGTGCTTCAAAAGACATATTCCTACTACACAGAATCAACAATGTGATTATTTATTCATTTGTTTTATTGATTCATTTATCTAAACTGTATGCATTTATCTATTATTGTAATCATTTTATTTTCAAAATTATGGCGTCTTTTTTTATTGATATATTGATTTTCTTGTGTTTTATTACCATAAATTGTTCAAACCCCATCAAAAATAGGACACATGAGTTTAATATGAAGGTGAATTAGTATTTAGTTAGTGCAGAACACAATTTGACATATCCTTATCCTAATACGGGTTGGATGAAGCAGGTGCTAAATTCCAACCCCCTTTTTTCACTATTCAGAATGGTGAATTAATGCAAACTTTTGTTTGATTGTTTCTGGCATGCAAACTGTTAATCAAAACAATTGTGATGGGAATGTGATTTTCTTTAGATCCGTCTGGCTTTCCTGGACTTTCAGTATTATATCAACCATGTCATTGGGAATGAGCTCATCAGGCAAAATCAACAATGCAAAAACTACCTCATCCAATCCACGAAGCAGATGCTGGATACGCACCAGGGCTCACTCACCAGGTCTTCCAACTCCAACTACAAGCTGACATGCCCCAGGGTGCCACAGGCTGTCCTAATGGCAATCGGTGGCTGGCACATCAGAGACCCCACAAGTGCCATTGAAATCTACAACAGCCGCTCCAAACGCTGGGTCCTAATGGACAGTTCTGACGGGCCCCGCGCTTATCATGGGACGGTCTTCCTCAACGGGTGCCTCTATGTGATTGGAGGGTTTGATGGCATAGAGAATTTTTGCACCATGCACAAGTACAACCTGGCCACTCAAACCTGGAATGAAGTCGCCCCCATGCACACAAGCCGGTGTTATGTGAGCGTGGCTTTACTGGATGGGTTGATCTACGCCATGGGAGGCTATGACGGCCTTGACAGGCTGGAAACGGCTGAACAATACACTCCCGAGTTCAACCAGTGGACAAGGATCGCCTCTATGCATGAGCAGAGGAGTGACGCGAGTGCTGCCAGCCTGAATGGACAGGTACACTCATGAAGACGTTTTAAAATATAAAAGTTGAACATTATTTTTTAACTCAATGTGTTTATATCTATCAGTTGTAACAGTTGGGCAGTTACATATCTCAATGTTCACTAACTATATGTTTGCCTTCTTTCTATTTGAAGATATATATTTTTGGAGGCTTCAATGGAGTTCAGTGTTTGTTCACAGCTGAGAGTTACAACCCTCAGTACGACCAGTGGAGTGTGATCCCTCAAATGAGTTGCCCTCGCAGTGGAGTCAGCGCCATTGCACATGCAGGCAGGATCATTGTTGTGAGTATATGGACTATGACGCTTCAAGATTAATTTATTTCTAGCCTAATTCTTGATTTATCTGTGAGCAAACAGTGGGTAGGGAGGTTCTAGAACACTTTTGTTTTTGGACTCTTCTTGAAAGAGGGAAAGTTTGAGATTTACATTCAGATCAAGTCAACATTTCAGGGATTAACTTTACCAGTCAATCCCTCATAAGCTTTGAGTAATGATGGAAAGGACAACATTCCGGATCCAAATGGTCCAAATGAGTTTGATCTGCAGCATAGTGCAACAGGGGATAAAGTCAGGGACTTAGTTGTATGGAAGATGCTCAGAGTTTAGCCACTGCACCTTAACTCCAAAATGAACCCAGAACCTGATGGAAAGATTACATCAGCTGACCTCAGTCAGCTGATGAATGAACAGGAGAAAATGTGTTTTAATAGGAAAGTCTGATGTCTCTACTCAAAGATTCTCACTGTAAAAAGACAGAACATGTAGAACGAGAAGGTACATTTAAAGACCATAAGATTAAAAGATAAGAAAAGCATTTATTTCAAGGACAATATTAAAGTCCAGTAATTGGAGTGCGTTCACACTTTAGTAAACTAATTATGGCAAACAATACTTCATTTGTGGACATCGAAATTACTTATATTTGGACTACTGGAAGAGTGTGTGGTTTATAAAGCTTTTTTTAAATAATTGGTTCACTTGAAACTCAAATGTGAATTCAATTTGGGCCAATCTTAATCATCACAATCCTCCTACTCTTAGGCCCTTCTTAATGGATTGAAAGTGTATGATAAACAAACAGGTATAATGATAGTTTTCCTCGCCAGTGGCTCTTTGATATCACAAATAAAGACACAGCACTGCCTAGACATGTTTATTTTTACTAATTGAAAAATGACCCCTTTCTTGCAGGCTGGTGGTTTCGATGGGGTGACCCGCCTGAACACGCTGGAGGTCTATGACCCAGAGATCCAGCACTGGCGCTCCCTGCCCTCCATGATTGAGTCACGCAGTAACTTTGGAATGGCTGTGCTGGACGACGAGCTCTATGTGGTTGGAGGCTTTGGCGGCTTCACTACGACAGCCCGTGTGGAAAGTTTCAACTTTGGGACCGGTGTGTGGTCCATAGTCAAAGACATGGAGGTGTCTCGCTCTGCTCTGAGCTGCTGCATCCTACACGACCTTCCCAATATGTCTTTCTACTCTGACACACAATATGCCGAGGATTCCAAAGAGAACTAGACCTGTGTTTAACAACACTCAAATAAAAGCATCCCTAAAACCTTTGTTACGGCAATAACCTTTATTATTCTCAATGAACCTCTATGACTTCTCTGGACAAGTTGCCCTACAGTGCAGAGAACAGAATTCCAGACAGTGACAGTATAAACTTAATGTGACAGACATTAAGTCTGTCACATTAAGTGACAGACTTAATGTCACTCTTCCTATCTTCTTCTATTTCGAATGATACAAGCAGATGATTAACAATGATGCACCAGTGCCACCATGTGGCAAATTAACAAATAGCAAGGTTTTAATCAATAACAACCCATGTTTTCCTCTTGCAAATGTGGCTGTTTGCATTTTAAAAAGTGATACATGATTAAAATGTAATTGATTGTTTTATCTGTGTTAAAATTACACCAGGCCCTGTAAGCTGACTTATTAAGTCTGATCTATACTTAGCTATAATTTAACATGAAGTACATGCAGGTTAGTTGCCTGCCTTACCAGGCCAGAGCCCTTTAAACAAATTTCAAAATGTGGGCTTGGCTGGACAGAAAACCGGGTGACAAATCCACCTCAAGAAAGTTGCTCTGTTACATGTTTTTATTTATCTTTTCTTTTTATCAGGAGAGAATAACTGTCTGTTGTCTTTCTGCTGCTTATGATTTATGATGTGTTAAGCTTCAACATGATTACTAATATTGTTATGTAAATGTCTACATTGGGAGATCAATAACATTTGATCTAAACATAACTGTTATACCTTTGCTTAAAACAACAGTTTGGAGATGTTGTTCCCCTCCTTTACAGTTACATGCATTTTCAACTTGAACATTGTTCTATACGACTTTGCAAATTCAGATGTGGGCTCCTGATAAGATCATAAAGACAGGAAACAACAACTGCATTGTGGGTCTGAACAGTTATATACTGATTGTCGGCCAGATTTGAGAATTCACATTTCACTTTCTCAAACGCTATGGCAGCTGACTATTCTGGTAATTGCACTTATGAATTGTTATTAGGATAATGCTTGTTCTATAGGATAATTGTTTTTTGTTGCTAATTGGGTATTATGTTGATACCAAATATATTATAATGCATTATAAGACATCAGTTACAACAGAGAAAAAAAAAAAAAACGGTTGTGATTTTATATGTTCGTTTCTGTTCCAGGGAATATGTCCTACTATGACTATGACTTTTTTGCCTCACCATGTGAAATTGAGTTAGTGACTAACTTTGGAAAAGTATTTTTGCCAGTTCTCTACATTTTGGTCTTTATCCTTGGTTACATGGGTAAGTGTTATGATATACATGTATTTTTTTTACCTCATAATGTGTCTGTCTCTTGATTAGAAGCACTGTCGTCTCCTCTGACCCTCAGTCTGTCTCAGGTAATGGTCTGGTGGCGTGTGTCCTGCTGAATTCCCTCCACCGGTCCAACCTGACAGACCTGTGTCTACTGAACCTGGCAGTGTCCGACCTGCTGTTCCTGCTCACTCTACCGCTTTATGTTCTGTATGTCGCTGCATCCTTCTCCTGGGTCATAGGAGACTTCATGTGTCACATCAGTGGAGGTCTGCACAGTCTGGGCTTCTACAGCAGCACTTTCTTCATGGTCGTCATGACTCTGGATCGATACGTACTTATTCAACACGCTCAGAAGTCCTCAAAATACCGTTCCATGAAAACTGGGATGATTCTATCTATGTTTGTGTGGGCTTTGAGCTTCTTGGTATCACTACCAGCTTTTATCTTCACAATAACTGACAATGGTACGTGTGATTACGACCCTGAAAGCGAAATCTGGATTGACTATAGATCAGCTACAAATATTCTCTGCCTTGCACTTTCTTTCATTGTGATGCTGGTGTGTTACTCTAGAATCCTTCCGACTTTGACAAAAATGAGGAGTACACAGAAACACCGCAGTATTAAGCTAATCGTCTGTGTCATTACGGTCTTCTTCTTATTCTGGACTCCATACAATATCACCTTGTTTTTAGATTTCTTGCGACTCAAAAATCGAATAACAGACAGCTGCGAACTACACGCAGGCATAAGACTCTCATTAGTGGTGACAGAACCCATTGCTTTCAGCCACTGCTGTCTGAACCCTGTCATCTATGCCTTTGCTGGGCAGAAGTTCAAGAAGCGCTCCGTGATTGTGTTGAGGAAGCTGCTGTCGCGGACCCCCGCCAGCAGAGACAGAGCAGATACTTCAATCAGAATGAGTTCCATTGCATCCCGCACTTCAGTCACTACCAGCATCTTGTAGATACCATCGATTTCCACCAGAGCTTGGCCAGTGCCCATCACCATAACTATACATCGGCAGCGTAGTGATAGGAACCATAGATACACACATACAAAAGTATAATAAGTAATAGTCATACCCAGCACTGCTCTGGACTAACTACATAAAGCCAGTAAGCAGAAAGTGGACCTGCTCTGTGGCCCATCTGATATTCAGGAGATAATGAGAGTTGGTCCAACCTTTTAACATCACTGTGGAGTCCTTTGGGAGATTCTCTAAGATTTCTGCTGAACTACTGTACATGTTTTATTTATTCTTTCACATCATGACTGTCTGTAACTTTATTTTTTGTCTTTCACAAAGAGATGCAATAAAATATATGTTTGTGGTCATAACAAGACAAAAAGGTTCATTACATACATTTTTACAGCTCTGCATTATGCTTTTTATGGAGATAGAGCGATGCACAATAGTGTTCAATGACCGCAGTGAATGATTTTAGGTCACTCTCGTCTCATTGCTGAGAAACCACACACCTTCAATGTGCACAATAGCAGAGAAAAAAAAGTACCTCATGCATTTTAACAGGAATTGACACAGAAAAAATCAAACCAGGCAATTGTCTAAGCGCATTTACGTTTAAAACTTGACTCTGTGGGAACAAGGATCATGTGGGACTCTATGGTAAGAACTTTCTTCTATTCATGTGGCAAACAGAGGTGTTGTTGTGAGGTGGGGGAGAATATGTCACCCACCCATTTTTTATTTTGTCCACAAATAGGAAGTCAGTGGTCGACATAAAAGCACACACATGCAAAGTTATAAATAGTTGTATTATTTGGCTTTTGTTTTGAGGAATTCATTCAATTATCTGCCTGAGAATAGTATCAGAAGTGAAAGAATTGTTAGAAAAAGTCCGCCTATAACAATTCCATAGCTACTATTTATAAAACTATTTATACTGTAGTTTATGGTAACATGATTCATCCAAGAAGGATTTATTAAATTCAAAACCTTTCCCTCACATGAAACTGAATGAAAACTATTCATCATTCTCTTGTATCAGATGTTGACAAAATTGAACAAATAAAAACAAATATGATTGAAACTGAGTAGTGGTAAAAAGCAGTCGCTAGGCCTTATTTATACGACTCTTTTTTTCCGTTCATCGTTTCAAAGGCAACACATAAAATAGAAGATAAATGTAGACAAATAAATTTACATATTTTAATTTCCCTACACGAGCAATTCCCTCTTACATTGAGCCACTGGTGATTAGCATTAGAGAAAATCTATGAATCCAAAGCAGTACAAAAGGTGGAGTTGATTATGAGATTGTAAAGCGCTTTTGGTGAACTTGGTCTGTAAATGTGTTATTTAAATAATACAAACATTAATATTATAAAGATTATTTACATGGTTTAGTTTTGTTTAAGACCAAGAGCAGTCAATTTTACATTTGATGAAGTTCATTATTTTGACTTTCAGGGTTTATACATTTCAGGGTTTATAATAGCGTAAATTGCAGAAAAGCGTAATGGATTGTATTTACATGTGACTTACATGCCACCTTTGTATCCTCAACTCAATTTATGATTAATCCCTATCAAAAACAGATCCAAATTACATTACATTTTTATGTAATACATATTTAGTTACACCTTTCAATTATTAATGTTGTTTTAGAAAAGGTGTTTATTCGTTGAAATGTCAGTGTTGCATCACAAGTTACAGAGCAGTAGGAATAAGGAGCACACCGCATAAGATGAGTGAACAAGGTGGCTGAGTGGATAGCACTATCGCTTCTCAGAAAGAAGGTCCTGGGTTCGAATCCCGGTCTGAGCAGGACCTTTCTGAGTGGAGTTTGCATGTTCTCCCTGTGTCTGCGTAGGTTTCCTCCGGGTGCTCTGGTTTCCCCCTACCACTAAAAACATGTACAATAGGTCTGGCATGCGCCTCCTGTTTTGCGACCTCGCTCCCATCTCTCTGTGGAGTAAGAGACAAATGCCCTAAACAACAACTGTAAAGCGCTTTGTGACTCTGGTCTGTGAAAGGCGCTACATAAATAAAGAATATTTAGCGTCAAGCAGCGGCAAACGGCCCTCACAGCACCACACAGCACTGTGCAGTGCTTATGCTGTAATTTCTTGTTTTTCACTTTCAGCTGACCTAGATCCAAGAGTTGGAGAACCAATTCACGTTTGGTGCTAATCGAACTTTGTATGAGAATTTGCCCCTCTGCTGCTTGCGCACCATTTAACAATTTGCAGCTATCTTTTGAAGCTACATGTGTTGAGATTTTATGGCTGGTTCATTTCATGGAAATGTTTTCCTTGCCATGACATGTATACCTTTGGCTCACTCTGTAGGAGGCGCTAATGCTGTATTTCATGTTTTTCACATTTGATATTCACAAGGGCGTAGGTTTGCATGGGGACCATGGGGACATGTCCCCACCAATATTTGGTGAGGACTAAAAAGTCCCCACCAAAATGACATGATGTCCCGTGACCCGGACGGTCCGGGACACATGTCTTCCGTTTGTGCACACGTCGCGCCTCCTCCTCGCCTCCAGAGCAACAGCAGCAGCAGCAGCACGTGACCCGTTCCGTTCTCTGCAGTGATTGGCTGTCTTCTTCAGCGCCAAACTGAAGCACTGAGCAACTGTTTAATTTTTAAAAGTTAGCCAGCGTGAAGCAAGTGTTTTTTTTCGTTCCCTGAGCGTTGTAGCACGTGAGTAATCAGAAGAAAGTACTGTAGATCTATTACCATTCAAAGTACTTACGTTATTTCTAATCTGTCAGCGCACTGTTTAATGTTCCGAGGAGCTCACACGGCATAGAACAGAACAGAACTGGCTCCAATAAAGAAACAGGTTGGTTGAAAGGCTGAAAAAATACTTATTGTGCTCTTACTATCCAAAATGTATAAGTGGGTGTTTTGTGTGAATCAGGATAAACTAGGGATGAAAATATTCCACGGATCCACGATTTACAACCTTTATCTGCTGATAATGTAATTTCTGTGAAATGTGTGACAGCGGGCACTTGCTGTTATTCACTCAAAGCACATTCAAGCGATGCACTCGAATGTGCACGTCCTGGTGCAGCTGCTGCCGCTTTGTAATGACAGCCGCGGCGCTCAGTGAAAGCACAGCTCTAACATGGTACCGAGCTCGGACCATATGCAGACAGAACCATGTTGCAAGTGCGGGTCTCCCTCGTATCTCCCCCGTTTCTCCCCTGTGTCTCTGACATGTCTCTCCCCTGACTCTTCCCAAAGCGCAACCAGCGCTCCCGAAATTAAAGCTCGGATACGTAAATTTTCCATTGCGTTAATGATGCATGCTGGTTGTGCGCAAAACACACCACAACAGGTAATTTAAGTTTTTATTTTGCATACTTGAGAGCCCTGTGAGTCATTACTTGCCTTTTTGGGTTGAGAGTGGAATAAAAAAAAAGAAAATATAGAAAAATCCACACTGTTACTTATTGCCAAACTCTTGTTAACTCATTGTATTGAGAAATACTATGTAACTTTTGACATTGGCCAAGTTATATAAATGATTCTGCAGTTCATGTATATGAATGTCTTTTTTAACAGTTGGAAAGTAAGTAAGAGAAAGCACAAGTAATAGCAAATTATGAATTGTGATGATTAATCTTCTGTTAACATACATAGGAAACTCAACCAACAAGAGAGAACAATATAGGGAATGTTGAGGTAGAAGCAACAAGCCCTTCAGTGCATCAGGTGAGGTTGGAATTTTGTAGGTATGCATGGGACTATGAATTGTTTTTAGAGATTGATCGTATATGTCAAACAATGTAGTGAGCTACTCACTGTAGATTCTAATTCAATATTTTCTCCTCTGTTTTTATTTATTATAGGAAATTGAAAGATCAGAGCATGATTTATTTCAAGTATCGAGAGCAGTTCCTGAACTGTTAGAGCCTCAGGTGAGGGCTATTATGTAGATTTGGATTAGGTTTAAGTCAGTATAGAATGAACGCAACACAAAACTCAGAAGCTCTGATCCAATTGATTTTGTTTTAACTATTAGAAAAAATCCTTAACTGCTTCTCATTCAGTCTACAGCTGAGTTTAGTATAGAAGGCAACACACTATTGCAAATATAGTGTGTGATTACACAACAAATTCTGGGGGAGAAACTCTGGACCCCGTGTCAATGGGTGTAGACTCAGGTCGTAGTGAATGTCCCCACCAAGATTGGAACCAAACCTACACCATTGGATATTCATACAATATCTACCTTTGGCTCACTCTGTAGGGAGCGCTAACACTGTAATTTCACATCCAGGTGACGTAGACCCATGAGTTGAACAACCGATTCAAATTTTGTGCAAACTGGCCAAAAAGAACGTTGTGCACGTTTAGCTGATTAAAATTGTGCGGCAAAATGTTGATGCTACATGTGTTTAGACGATGTTGAGCGATTTTGAGACAGATTTGAGAGTTTGATAATTGACAATAAAACATGAATGGTTCTATTTCAAGTTGGGCCTCTACAGTGGAACCCTGTTTGTCGCCTTCATGAGAAGTGTTCTCTTCTGGAAGACATTTTAAAACTTCAGCGAGAACATTGTTACTCTGTGTGTCTCCCCGTGCTCATATTTTGCTACGTGAAAATCCTAATAGCTCTTTCCAAAGCCAGAAATTCAAACAAGGACAAACCAATGAGGTGGAGTTGTTGTTCAAACAGGGGAATTCAAGTTTTATTAACGGACGTAGTCACGCCTATCTCCACCGTTCTAACTAATAGGCCAAAAATTGGGCTCTCATGGAGTGACTCAAAATGGCCGCGGGGGCTGGAAAATGTGAATGTGAATGCGGCTGAAGCATCTGCTCATGCGTCAGCCGGCACAAGCCCCATTCATTTAAACGAGTGACTTCAAAAATTCACAGCGAGTAAACTAGACTATTGGATAATTCTCCTTCTGGGTCCACCCCCACTGGCCCGGGGTGGTATTGCAAGTATGTTAGCGTACATGCTCATGGAACCGTCCCCATTGATACGAACACATCATAGGCTCCATAATGGCATAATCACGCTTTTCTCCCCACGTTGCCAGATGTCATCTTCAGAGAATGAAGCGGTAAAGGTACAGAATTTATCAAAGATCTCTACGTTAATAATCAACAGCGCTAATATGATCATCAATTAAAATGAAATTAGATCATCAATTACGTTCAAGATACTACTAGGTCACCTCATCGGTTCTGGTGTGATTTGCTTTTGCAGTATACGGCAATGGAATTTATGTTTGTATTTGAAACTAAAATAGAAGCAAATAACTAGAATTTGGACGAAAAAAAACATACAAATAAAAATAATATTGATCTGTGGACTTTTTCAGAGCAAATGTGAAACAACATCATGGCAGTAGGTTTTTTTTTTCTTTCAGACGAACTCATCTGATTATTCCTATGATTACAACGACACCTGCAACACCAGTGAGGACAACAGCGCACAACCTGCTCTTCTTTACATTTTATTCAGTTTTGGCGTTTTAGGTGAGCCATCAAAATATTTTTTTGAAAGTGAAACATGCATTTAGGTATACAGTATATACCCTGGGTTCTAATTGTATACAATGTTAACAGCTTTTAAATATTATTACAGTATATAAGCTTGTTTTTTTACCTATAAAAAAACCCATACATTTCTCAGGTTGGAGTAGAACCTAATGTTCACCTGGTGTTTAGTTTATCATGAGAGCCTGTTTTTAATGCATTTATTGACATCCCTAACATCAAATTGCAAGATAATTTTTTTCCATGTGAAAAAGAATCTTCTTTAAAAACAAGTGGAGCCCTGTAAGCTTATCATAGATTTAGAACAACTGAAATCACTCAGAAAAATAAATAAAACAAAACTATGTAAGAAATGCGTAGTAAATGTAAAATGTAAATGTGCACTTTATTTTCCTCTACATTTGACCCATCCTGATGCCACTGACGCTTCTGTCAGGAGCAGAGGTCGCCACGGCGCCTGGGGAGCCATCTCAAGATGTTGTACAAGAACGTACTGTTGTTCATTCAATGTCTCAATTTTTAGGGAATGTCACAGTCATGTGGGTGCTCCTCCGACTCATAAAGATGAAGACAATGACGGATGTGTGTCTTTTAAACCTGGCCGCTTCAGATCTCGTAATGGCTGCTTCTCTCCCGCTGTTGGCCACCAGCTCACTGAACCTCGTCTCATGCAAAGTCATCAGAGGAGTCTATCAGGTGATTGGCAATGATAAAAGATTAGTAGGATCATTATGATAATATAATCAGTATTGTTATTGATACTATATTATATCAATATATTTGTTTCCTTCAAGTGGAAATAACAGACAATTGCCACATTTACTATTTTCATTTTCTCACTGTTGAGATCCTTGTCCCAAATGCACACAATCATGAAACCCTAATAAATACCTAAGTTAATACGTAAAGGACCCAGATCACTGTCTGGATCCAGGAATGGAACATGGTAGAGATGAAAGTAAAGTACATAGTTATTGTTTGATTGACTATTATTGACAATAACACATGAATGGTTCTATTTCCAGTTGGGCCTCTACAGTGGAACCCTGTTTGTCGCCTTCATGAGTGTGGACCGTTACTTGGCCATAGTCCATGCTGTCGCAGCCATGACGACCCGCTCACTCCGCTACGGGATTATCATCAGCATCATAATCTGGATCATATCCACTGCAATGGCAATCCCAGAGGTTATATTTGCCCAGATAAATGATGAATTTGAATCCAAGTGTGAACCACGATATCCAGACAACAGTGTTCTCTTCTGGAAGAAATTAAAAAACTTTAGCGAGAACATTGTTACTCTGTTTGTGTGTCTCCCTGTGCTCATATTTTGCTACGTGAAAATCCTAATAGCTCTCTCCAAAGCCAGAAATTCAAACAAGGACAAAGCAGTAAAGCTGATACTGATAATCATTTTTTTGTTTGTTGTTTGCTGGGTCCCGTACAATCTGAATGTCTTTTTACAAACTCTTCAGTTATATAATATTCTTAATACCTGTTTAGATTCCCAGAAAATCAACCGCTCCCTTGAGGTGTGTCAGATCATATCTCTGTTCCACTGCTGTGTAAACCCAATCATATATGCATTTGTGGGGGAGAAGTTTAGGAAGTCTGTGATCGGTGTGTTAGTGAGATGTAAGAGACCAAACAGAGCAACATCCAGCCACAAAGATACAACAGAGAAAGAGACAACACACTCCTGTAGGGTCTGAGTTTTAACCATTTTCCCTCGTTTATGGACTAGAATATTCCTGTCATTTACCAGAAGGTGTGAAAGTGCAAAGTTTGTCCTTGATTTTGAAGTTGATGTGGACATACTGTAGCTATGATTTAACTCAAAATATTGCTTTTTTTCCATCATGCATTTGGTATAGTGTATCATGTCACTTCCTGGTTGGACCATTTAGAGGAGGAATTAAAAGAATGTTTACATTTGATTCAATTTAAAAACCTTACCCTATAAAAGAAAATCTATATATCTGTCACGCATTCTTCAGGTTTGTTGTTTTCTAAAATAGTAAGTTTGTGGAAAGCATTTTGTTCTTCTGATAGTAAAAATAAAGTTCATTCATTCTTTCATTCACTTTTGTCCCATTTATTCGTCAATTTCTGGGTTGGGAGGTGGCAATCGAATCTGCCACCCAATCCTGCAGATGGTGGGTCCAAGGGAGAAAAAAAAAACAAAGGTTACAGTGCTTTAACATGACACACACACACACACACACACACACAAGCTGCAAGATGTGCAGAGAGCATGCACCTGTACACTGAAAGCTATAAAGAATTATTTGGACTGTGGTTTCGACTCTGTGGGTTCTAGTTTTAAAGGAAACCAAACATACATACTTTATGCTTCATCTCAGAGAGCAGCACATAGACACAAGATGAACACAACATCAAGCAGGTATCGTATTTGTTCTTATTTTTCTTCATGAAATAAAACCTTTGTGAAACTCCTTCTCAACGTGGCACATGTGATGTATAGATGTAAAGTGTTATTATGAGACTTGATATGGCTTCAACAGCTTTTAAATAGTGTTTATTAATTGACTGAAAAAGTGTTGTTTACTGTCTTTTTCTTGTGCGTGTAAATCATCATTGTGTTTTCCAGAGAGTGGAGTATGCCAACATCCAGTCCTGATTTTAAGGCACTGACTAGTTGGAGATGGGAAAACACCACAACAAGGTAAGTTTCTGTGACAAGCTATTATTTAGTCTTACAATTTCAGGCAAATCAATGTGGTTAACAACAGGTGCGACAGTGCACTGTACATTCAACATTTGAAGTAAATCCTTCTTAAACATGATGATATCATGTATCATCATGTATATATATACAGTATGTGCAGAGAGCATGCACCTGTACACTGAAAGCTATAAAGCTATGAAAGCTGCACACAGTAGGGCTGCTAGGTTAGGGGAATATATATATTTTCCCCTAACCTAGCAGCCCTACTCTAGCCCTAACCCAATACAACATTGATTCTGGACCTGGTTGAAGAAACTTCTCCCTTGTCATTGTTTTGACACACTTCCTGCATCCTTGTGCAAATCCGTTAACACAGATGTCAATCAGTCCAAACTCCATTGCTTTAGCTGTGGTAACCAAACAGAAACTGTACAGTATGTTCCCATCTCACTTAGACACTACTTGACCAGAATGAAATCACTGAAGTGCCTGTTTGAACCTGCTTTACAAAACTTTTCAATTTGCAATCAGTCTGCAGCCTGACTGATGCTGACTGATACTGACTGATGCTGACTGATACTGACTGATGCTGACTGATACTGACTGATGCTGACTGATGCCATGTTTGTTGCTGATGCTGGATAAGGCATGCAAGATGATATTTCCCTATAGGTGCATCACAAGAGAAAATATTGAGTACAATGTAGATGAGGCCAAGCGCAAGGGGCACATATGATGGCCGTTGTCTAATGACTGATTGGAAGCACTTATGCTCTGCTGTTGTTGTTTGAGGGCAAAATTTGCTTTTGGTCTATATTTTAAATGTTTTAGTGGAGTTAGAGCCTTTTGCAGGCAAAATGAGTCATTTTGACCATTGGGCCTTTACATTAACAGTTTTGAAAAATGATTTTGAGTCAACTACTGCGTCAAAGCAATCAAAACAAAACAAAAAATCTGTAAAAGAGAGTTGAAAAGTTACTTTGTGGTGTTGATTAGTTAATTTTGTAAACTAGCCAAAAAGTGATTTTTTTATGATGAAGACCAAAATAATACCACACTAAAGTGATTTGTGTTTCTCTTCAACAGCTTTGATGATGATTTCATTGATGATAAATTGGATTACAACTACAGTGACTACAATAACTATGACTTAACTATTTACTTGGAATGTCGCCTTCCGAACCATGGAGCTTACTTCATCCTCGTCGTCTACACTGTGTTTTTTCTGGTTGGCTTTATTGGGAACTCTTTGGTGCTCTTCGTAATCATTCGTGGGGTGCATCTTCGGAGCATGACTGATGTTGGTTTCCTGAACTTGGCCATCGCAGACCTCCTCCTGGTGTGCACCCTTCCCTTTCTGGCATATCAAGCCTGGGACCAGTGGATATTTGGAGATGCAATGTGCAAAGCGGTTCTTGGAGTCTATCACATTGTATCATACAGCGGCCTCTTCTTCCTTTGCCTCATGAGCATTGACCGATACCTGGCTATTGTGCACGCCGTTTTTGCAATGAGGGCAAGAACTGGCTTTGTTGGCATGATTGCGGCTGTGATCATATGGATTACAGGATTTTGTGCATCTTTTCCGGACATTATCTATCTTAAGCAAAACTTCAGAGACAATAGAACCGAGTGCTTCTCCTTTTACCCAAAGATTGAGACAAATCACTTCTGGAAAGTTTTTTGCATTTTCAAAATGAATATATTAGGGTTCTTTGTGCCATGGCTAATAATGGGATTTTGTTATTTGCAAATTCTATTGAAGCTAATGTCTTGTCAGACCTCAAAAAAACAAGCAATCCGCTTAGTTGTCGTTGTAGTGGCTGTGTTTTTCTGTTGCTGGGCTCCGTATAATGTCGTGACCTTCTTCAAAGCTCTAGAGTTGTTGGATATCTATACAGAATGCGACAGCGCTAAAGTCATTGCTATAGCATTGCAGGTTACAGAGGCTGTTACCTTATTCCACAGCTGTCTCAATCCCTTTTTATATGTTTTTGTGGGGGAAAAGTTCAGGAGACATTTGATTAGGCTAATGAACAGATCTCCTTGTTGGTGTATCAAGGCCCTCGTACCCCGGGACAGAGTCAGAGGTTCAGTGTACTCACAGACCACCAGCCTGGATGAGAGGAGCACTGCTGTGTAGACTGCAGGATGTGGTTATGGTTAGGATTCAGGTTGCAAAAAGTAGGTTATGTGCTGCGAAAGGTTTGCCTTTCGGCACTTGCAAAATTATAGGCACTTACAAATTACATTACAATCTTACACAGTGCTGACTGAGCTACATACTTTAACTGTGATTTTGTTGTATGAAAAAAAGAAAAGAAGGTATATCTATTTCACATGTGTCATTTAAATTATTAATTTTATAATTTCTTGTTATTTGTGCTATTTTAGTATGTAACAGTATTTTGTTTTGTTTTGTTTTGTTTGATGAGAATTAAAAGAGCAGAATGTAAATAAACTCATATGTTATGCTATTTACGGTATTAGGAAATATAAATGGGATATAAAAACCTGCAAAAACAACATTTGGGGAAAAAAGGTTTGATGCATTTACTGTACAGTAGAAAACTCTTCCTCTTATACTCAGCTATAAAGCCTTGACGGGGAGTGTTTCCACAGGCCCTGTTTGACTGGTACCAGGTACTTTTTACCTGCTTGGTCCTGGTTCTATGCATTGTCTTTGCCATTGTAACAAGTTAAAAATAAATAAATAAATCTGACATAAAAACACACACTAGACAATTAACAGCACACATTTGGTATTATCATTCTTTAACATTGGAGAAAACTGATTTAATATACACATCATTTACAAAACTAAATCACTTTAAGCTGGAATTTACAACAAGAGAAAAGGTAGGTGGCGCTGCTGCTGTACTCTGGGGCCCCCTTGTGGAAAACATATACTGTATTAGACCTGTTTTATGTACAGCCAAGAGATTCACTTAATAGTTTTATGACTGCAGAGAGGAGCTTCAAAATGCGCACAGAGAATGAGACAAACTGTATTTGTTACTTTGACGTTATTGAGTTCGACTCCCACACCAGAGGAAAAACACCTGTTCCACAACATGGTTTCAGGGGAATGACACATACCTGCAGAAGGGGTTTTATGACCTTATTGAGGGTGAGAAAGTGCCTACCGATGGTTTTCAGCTAGACTTGAGTAAAAGCAGAAGATGGGTAAGATCTCTAGCTGCCACCCCATGCAGGTCAAATAAGAAACATTTATAAATATTCATGTAATAAGTTCATCCATTAATCACAACGGATTCAGAATTTTACATTGATTTAAAAATGTGAAACACGTCATGCATCACTTGAGTTTTGTTTTGGTCAAATGTATAAAAACTCCTATAATCACTGACTTTTTGGGGTCTTAAGAACTAATTGAGTAATCCACTAATACATGTCATTCATCTGTATATATGTACATAAATACTGCTAGATTTTGTAGTTATGCATGCCTTCTTGATTTCATCTCACATGGCAATAAAAAGATTCTGCTTCTGATCATGTGTGATACTGCCATTTCAGAAAGTCCACTGAATGTCAATTTATCTACTTACCCTGCCCTATATGTACAGTATATAACTTTGCACTATGTATATATAGATATTTTGAAAGATTGATATTGAAGCATTTACAGCTATAAGAAACATAGCAGCTGCTTATATTGTATGTTTTGTGTGCTCTGTGTGCTCTTTCCACTATGTGCAACATTGAAATTTCTCCACTGTGGGACAAATAAAAGATCTCTTATTTTATATCTAATCGATCATCAAAATAATCATTAACAACAGCCCTAGTTCTGAATAACTCTGCTGTAAAGAAGGGGAGGGTTTGTATGTGTCATTTGTCTGATATTACCTCTCTGACAATGCCCTTTGAAAGTTATACATTGGATTATAATGAAGTGAAGTCTATCCCAAATATTTCTTGACATCGAAACAGTAATGTGAAACATCACAAGCTTGAAGTTTGGTCTACGACTAGTTCCATCAAATGCAAACATAACATTGGAACCTAACAAACATTTAAAGGAGTCCTAAAACATTGATTGAAATCAAACCAGTCATGCTCCCATAGCTCTTTCTACCTTGGACTTTCTCTTTCTCTCCTTTTAGATTCTTTATTTCTTGCTTGTCGACTTATTGTTTGTACTTTGACCTAACTGTGTGTTTGTGTGTCTCTTACCTGCCTTAAGACAATGGACTCAATGTTGTTGTTATGCTAATTCCAGCATATTTATGTTGACGGTGTTTGCAGACATATTGATTATTACTGTATGTTCTGTACTAAAATTAAATAAATAAACATTGGTGGCTGGAGGTTGTGGGATCGATCTTGTGTCCGTTCGGGCCTTTCTGTGTGGAGTTTGCATGTTTCGCCTCGTGTCTGGGTGAGTTTCCTACAGGCGCTCCAGTTTCCACCACCACCATAAGTTAAATCCTCCAGCTCTGGTCCTCATCAAGCATCAACATCAGGAGATAAGTCCCCAGAGGCTGCTCCTAACACAGTGCCTACAGTGACTTTGAGGGATGGCTCACATGCATAGGACAATTTACATTGAATGGTATGTGTAATAGAGTAAAAGATTTCACCATGTTCTGTTTTTGTCGATAAAACTCGTCAAATCATTGTTGCTCATTGTACATTTAATGGCAAATTAACAGGACAAAATAAAATATTTACAACACATAGTAACATTTAAACACAATCTTCTGTACAGAGAAATATACATGCAAAATCAAACATAAGGAATCAGAATTAGACATTCAATCAGACATTGCTGCAGCCTGGTACAATGTGTATTTAAAATAGGACATACAGTAGTTATGAGGTGACAGCTCAGGCTCTCTGTACAACTTTACATCAGGACAAGACCAGGTTTCTCCAAGGCATTTTATTACTTCATCTTATTCATTATTGTGAGATTTGATTGACATAACAGGAGACCCACATTGACATAATAAATAATATATTAGAGACAGAACTGTACAAAACAACACATAAGAAATTAAATACAAGATGACGTTGATGATGAATAGTTAGCTCACTCCCTTACACTAGAGTCAAACCACTGGCACTTAAAAGAAAAAACAATCTTGAACGGTTCTAGCCACAGACTTTAAGAACACGTGTTTTTTGTTCTATGTATTGTTCAGATTTGGGCAAAAAACATGTGTTACAGACTTATTGCTTACTCAAGTCTGCCCAATGTTCACCCAGTATAGCTTAAAGAAAATACATTTTATGCAAGGTATGCTGATGTCTATCTACAAACGCAAACCAAGTCACACAGCAAACCACTTTGTGCACAGCTTTGTAACAGACAAATGAAATATTTCATCAGTAACATCACACAAAATATCAATTACAAGAAGAATAAATAAAACATCTGGGTTTAGTGTGCTTATAAATTAAAAGGAAAAAAATACTCAACTTTGGTATTGTTACATAAAATATAACAATGAAAGCATAAGTGCTTATATTTTATAGTAATGCAGTTATCCCACAAACGGGTTTCAGATTTTAATACTGAACTTAATAGAATTAACACAATACAGACATCTATCGCAGTACCGGTATGTACATGCCTTTTAATACGACTACAACACAAGGGTTCATAATAGTTGCATAAATGTTAAAGCTGCAACATTGCACATGAGAATTAATGCAAAATACAACTATTTGTTTTTGTTTGTTCAAAGTGAACTGCATGAATTCACTAATGCGCACTAACTTTTGTGTGACGAATCCTTTGAGATGAAAGGCAGTACTTTATATACAAATAAGGCGGATGTGGGTGAAAATCTGCAAAAGCGGTTGCCCAATAGCTTTAACAATTCTCAAAGTCCAAGTAAAATAAAATCATACTTTTGTAATAAAAGGGCCATACATTAAGCAAACTATTGCACTGAATGAGAATACAATGCATTTATGGAAACGTGGTTTTGGTCTTCATCTTGTTCAGTGACCTGCTGATAGCCACTGCTCTAAGCTTCCTATGTAACAACTCATTTTAGCTTTCCAAAAGGTATGAATAAAGACAGTTTTGTTTTCTTACTGTACACCATTACATTTACAAAAGGTAATCTCTCGTTACAAAAAAGAAAAACATTTATGAACTGAAGCAGCCTGAATAACTCTTAAATTACAGTTTTCTAGTTTCGGTTTAACACTGTCACACAACACGATGTTGCTCGTGCTGGCTTTGTTGAGGAAGTTTTTCCCTGCAAAGTCAAAACTATGAAATCTCAGATTCCAACAGTGTGTTTGTGCCGGCATATCCACAGCATATGCCTTAATGTCCAAAGAGAGAGAGAGGAGACATGTACGGTTTTCTCAGCAGAGATCAGTCAGCAGCAGCAGGACTTTCGAGGCAAGAAAAGGAGGATATCCTAGAGATGAAGATGACTTTTCCTTAGTTTTAGATTCAGCTCAACTGAATCCTCTTTACATCTTCACAAAAATATCAATGGCTACATTTATCTTCATTTGTTGTCGCCTACATGTGGTTCAGCAGCCGGCTATGTAGAAAGGACTTAATAGAAGCTATAGGGCGGACATCATTCTGGTGTTTGCGTCTCTCGATGAATGAGATGAGTCTGGATGTGTCCAATGGGGCACTGTGGTGGTTCTGTGGAAGGGCTTGGTGATGGTAGTCTCCGTTTATGAGCCCACGTGACTGAAGCCAGGGATCCTGCAGACACAGCCCTGCGGAGGGGCGGCGGTCTGGTTCACCCTGGAGCAGGAGACACACAAAGTCCTTGGCAGCCATGCTCACACCCTGGAAGTAGTCCTCTGGAAAACTGAAGTCCAGACGGCAGATGTTCAAGCAAGTCTCCTCCAAACTTTCATCCAGGAAAGGAGACGCACCGCTCAGTAACACATAGGTCACCACTCCTGGGAAGCATTCAAACACAACAATTTTTAGTGTCACAAAATTATAACAAAACAAGATGTGTACACTCAACATTCAACAACATTTATGGACATTTAAGGACAATACCAATGTTATTTTCTCTTCTATTTCATGAGTTTGAACCGTTTGATTCTCTGATCTGTGTTGGCAAAATGGCTATACAAGAATACATTAAATTGAATTGAATGTAAGAAGAGAGACACTGTACACAC